CGGCCACTTCGGGCTTGCCACCCTCCCCCGCCGCACCCCGCGCTCCTGGGGCCTGGGGGTCTCGAGGCGCCCAGGCCTCTCACCTCCTCACGGGACTGAGCTACGAGGATGGTGACAGCCCGTGCGTATACACCCAGCCGTGGCGACGTTTTGGGGTGGCGTCTCAATGAGCAAGAGGTCCCCCCCGTTCACCTCCCTCACAGCCTCGCCCAGGAGGCAGGGGCCAGATGACGGGCCCGCCCTTGCCGTGTGCAGCCAGGTGTCTGTCCTGAGCCCAGGCCCACGACGGCACGAGAGTCTCCGGAGCTCCGGCCTTGTTACAGGCTGGGATGTTCTGTTCCCAAGGCCCTTGGCGTGGCCGTTCCTGACATGGGAGCAGCGGCCCGGGGCCCGAAAGTGGTTTCTGCTGCTGGAAGAAGCCAGTCAAGCCTGGGGACAAAAGCGTGCCTCTTACACGCCCACCGAGCTCAAACAATCCCGGCCCTGGGGCCGAGTGCCCTCGGGGCCTTCAAAGCTGCACGGCTTGGGGCAAAGACAGGTGACTCTTGAAAAGATAACGGGCACCCGGTTCACACAACAAAGCCCAAGGCGGGAGGCAGCTGATGTCAGACTCACCGTGACAACGTCTGGACAGAGCTGCCTTCTCTGGGAAGCTCAAGGCGGCTCTCGGGATCGCGTGTCACGGGAAGTGTCCCCTAACGTGGCAGGCCTAGCGCTTTTTCTTAAAAAGAAACGCAACTGGAAGTAAGTGGACTGTTTATTCTTCTCCCACGGACTGAGTCTAATGAGCCACAAACAGCTCGTCGACGCTGCGTGTTTGCGAAGCAGGGAGGGTAGTTTATGGGGATGCGAGCCCGTGCGCTTGGAAGCGGGGGACACGGTTTGCAGCCTGAACACCCGACCGGTGCCTTTCCTGCAACCAGGGCTGAGCAGGGACTTCTGGATTCGGGAACTGAGAATATGGCTCACCAGCTCTCGGCGCCCAGAGTCACAGGGACGCGCCCCCGTGCTCAACGCGCATTCATAGGGCACGTGTGCTAGCTGAAAGCAGACGACCCCAGCGGCAAGGCAATGTTTAGTTGCCATCTGTATGCCCTGGTAGACTGGAGTCAGCCCTTTGTCTCCTGTGACCAGCACGTCGCGTGCCGCCTCTAGTTCAGGCTTCACGGACCAGTGAGGACAGAGGAGGAAACTGAGGGTCAGGGAGTGCCCGGTGACGAAGGCGTGAACCCACAGCCAGGTGCCTACAGAGTCTGTGTTATTTCCCAGCCGAACAAAATCACTCCTAGGGAGCTGAGAACTGTCAGGCACAAGCACGCCGTCACTCGGGTTCGCAGGGACGAAGGATGTTCACGTGCAGGACTTTACACGTCACGGTAAAGGTGGGGCGGCTGCACGTCCAAGATGCCTGTGGCCGTAGCGCGAGCAGAGTTTGTGGGACGCGGCCGGTACTGGCTGTTTCTGAGTGACTGCAAATAGGGTAAGGCATTCCGTGCCATGAGGGCTCTTAACAGACAGTTAGATTTTGTAGGTCATTCGTGGGAAAGAAACAGCACTGAAGGGGCCAATCCCTCGACTGAAAGCGATTTCCTGGGAAATGATCGATCCCTGGAAAGCTGCTCTGGAAAGCAAAGATCCTTGGACACGTACCAACCTAGGTCAGTTTTCAGCTCCATCGTTTATCAAGACGTGACCAAAATACGAATGGCGGTTATGACAGCGGTCAGAACCGCGACTGCATCCGGAGGTCAAGTTCACGGGGCCAGAGACACTGGTCTCTATTTCCTGCCCACTGGTCCATGACCAGTCTGTCTGTCTGGCATTTGTTTGACGGGGCTTTCCTGCATCGCTTACATACCGTGTCAGCTTTATGACGAGCAGCGCAATTATTTTCATCCACCCGAATGGCTCCCGGACGAAGGAGAGACCCTGGTCTCCCAGGGACAGACGGAGGGGCCGGGGCAGGAGGTAAGTGGCTCTTGCCTGGCATGCTTCTCGGCAAGGTCGGGACGTTAACTCTGGGCCCGGGCTCTATATGCTGACCCACATCGGTGCTGGGTTTACCGCCTGCACACCGGCGTGACATTTTGGAAAGCGGTCACAGTGCATTCGGTGATGCCCAAGGACTGGCTGGAGCCATTATTGTTAAGGCTGATGACGAGATCCCTGTTATCCGCTGGCCCCACCGTGCTCTTGGGGACACAACCCGACAGCCGAGGACAGAATTCAGAACCGCCTCCCCCTGCCCTCGTCGATGTGCTCACGTGCTCCATGCACCCTGTGTCAGTGCCCTCAGAGCCCTGCGGGGACCTGATGCCCATGGCCCTAGATGCCATCGCCAGGCTGAAAAATAAGTCCTTGTCCCCTCGGAGGCCGGCGTGCCTCTGCGTTCTGTAGTCACATCGACGTAGGTCACAGATGAAGTTCGCTGAGTGTAGTTTACGTTTAAATACACAATTTGAAAAATACGATGCTCTTTGGGAAATACATCAATGGAGCAGCAGGTAGAAACAAATTCTCGAGACGGGCACAGGTCATAACCCTCTAAATAACAGTTGACGGGCTGGAACCCTCCCGTAGTTATTTGTTACAAGCAAACCTCCCAGGCCTGGGGTTTGGGGGTAGAACTAACCATTAGCTTGTTTTTCCAAAGAACTCAAACAAACCTGCTGGGAAGTCTGGTGGGCACAGAGCCAAGTGCGTCCTCGAGACCAGCAGAGACGGCTGTGCTCGCTGACCGTCAGTGGCCCCGGGGCCATGGGACGTGCCACCCGGCGTCTGTCTGTGGGTGACGACTGGCAGGGTGTCTGTTGTTCTCCACCCCTGCTGACCTCGTGTCAGAATCACCTGCCTGCCCCCTCTGCCTCCCTTCAAAGCTTATTGATTTCGAAATAGCTCCTCTGATAAGAGGAAGCTTTGTCTGAGCCTCCGTGGTGACCGTTGGAGGGATGGTTATTGACTCGCCAGAGAAGCATCTGGAAATTGTTTTCTCCTCAGGCTGTAAGTTTACACAGAGACAAGAAGTCACAGATGCCACTCTGTGGAGCGATGCTGACTCGTTACCACTCAGGCTCTAAGCCCGCCTGATCGTTTATTGAATGACTCCAAACGCTTGTGCATAATTTCACTATTTTATTAATACACTTGTTCCGTAGGCACCCACGGAGCCACAGGCCAGGTGTGTGCTGGGCGGGGCAGGTGTGTGACCGAGGAGAAGGCTCCGCCCACGAGGCGTCCGTCTCAAGGTGGCACTGGCGCTGTGGGACAGTGCACGTGCCGGGCGCCCGGTTCTGCAGGTAAGGGGCCTGCCCCTGCCCACCTCGCCCTCCACTTTCCCTGTGTCCAGGTGCCCGCGTCCCCTTCCCCGCCTGGAGCCCCAGGTCAGCAGGTTCGGCCAGGACTTGCGTGATGCGCTTTGCAGGGTGAATGACTTCGGTGGCTACACGGGTGAAGTCAACGACATACGGCTGCAGAGGTGTATCTGCTTTTGCGCGTTTTTTTGGAGCAGAAAAGGGAGCCAAAAGGGGTGTCAGCTTCTCCAGCGAAGGGGTCAGGAAGCTGCCTCCCGTGTCAGCCACGAGGCGTTGGTGTTGAGACGGTGGCCATAAGGGGCGGCCTCCCTGTGGTGCCGGTCCGCGTGCAAAGCTCGCCCAAGTGGGGAGACAGGCGAACACAGCCATCCCCCTAACTCTCACTCGCCCAGAGGCCGGGCGAGCGGGGGCCCGCAGGGTGAGGGCTGGGAACGGAGGCCCCAGTGGCCCCACGCCAGCCAGACAGTCGCGTGCTGTGTACCTCTCAGGGACTCGCTCGGGCTGGCTTCCGGATGAGGAGCACTTAGGGACAGAGATCAGGAAGGCGTGTGGGTGGGGTCACAGCTGGAGGTTGAGGGAAGGAACCGTGGGCGGTAACGGACTTGGCGGCTTTTGAAGCCTTCACTGGGTTTTAGCTTCACTGAACAAACACCCCTGAGTACCTTCTAGCACCCCAGCCGGGGGCGGGGGGGAGGCTGGTGGGTGGCCAGCAGTGGGCAGCGTGATGGGGACCCGCCGGCCACAGCCACGCGCTGACCCCGGAGGGGCTCCTTCTCTGCCACGTGTGACAAGACCCCCCGGCCCCTCGTCCGGATGAAAACGCACACTCAGTTTTAGAGACAAGGACGTGTGAGTCTAGAAACAAGTACCTCTAGGTGTTATGGCCAGAGCGTGGTAACATCCAGACCTTTCGAATTTAGCGGGGAGGGTAACACAACAGTCCGTCTGCCATCCCTCACGGTGCGGCGGGAAGGACCAAGGCGACGAGTCTCCGACGTGGCACCGAGGAAGGGTCTGCCCGGTCCGCTCTCCCAGGGCCGGGCGCGGACCCAGGGGGCCCCAGCTCCCAGCGAGGCAGGCCTTCTCCCACCCGAGTGCGTCTGCACCTCCTGGACTCCTGACCTCGGCCCCACCATCCCCAGGACACAAGGTTCCATTCAGGAATTCCTGACCTGACTAGCCGCGGAGTCGCCCCCAGGAAAGCTGTGTCCCAGCAAAGACGTTTTGTTGGAAGAAATGCCGGCCTCCTTTCTGTCTCCAGGGCACCTGGCTGCTGCGAAATGTCATAAAGTGTTGAAATTGAGGCCCGTAAACACTTTCGAACACAGGTTCCAGAATGGCGGTGTGGTTTGAGAAGCATGCGAAAACCATGACCTTTTCTCACCTTAATTTATTCTTCTCCTCTTATTACCTTAAAAATTGTTATGGCTTTGGGGCACCTGGGTGGCTCAGTCAGTTAAGCCTCCGACTTCAGCTCAGGTCATGATCTCACAGCTCGTGGGTTCAAGCCCCGCGTCAGGCTCTGTGCTGACAGCTCAGAGCCTGGAGCGTGCTTCAAATTCTCTCTCTCTCTCTCTCTCTCTCTCTCTTTCTCTCTGCCCCTCCCCTGTTCACACTCTGTCTCTCTCTCTCAAAACATGAATAAACATTAAAATTTTTTTTTAATATAAAAATTGTATTGGGTTATTTCTAGCATACCAGGAACTCTGTTTTCAAATTATCAGATCAAAAGTCAGTGTTTTATGGGAAGAAGTTGTTGATAGGTCTATTACGTGAAAACCTCGGTTTCAAACGGCTTCACCATCAGGTGCCTCATTTGTAAACACACACACACCGCTGTTGGAGAGCCAGCCACACATGCCGTCTGCACAGCCACACTAAGATGCCTCCACACCCCTCGCCTCCCCGTCTCCTCCTTCTGGGTTTAACGCACCTTCTACGCTTTCCACAGTGCTCGCGTGTTATTTTGTGATGATACAAAATTGAAGCCCCTCCCCCTGCGTGAACTCTACTCTGAATTGGAAGAAAAGAAATGAAAATGAAAATGAAAATGGCTCTTCAAGAGGAGAGGGGCACGTTCTCCTTTAAGTCGTGGACCTCGTCGCATCATTTCTACTGGTCGTTTTAACATTTCATAGTCATGACTATTTAATGTTTCCACCTCATATCAAACTTACAGAACTCGGTTGAACTTGAGGTCACCTTAATCCTCTCTGGAACAAAGCAAGACTGAGTCCTCCGCACTGTCTCCTCCCATTTGGTGACGACGAAAGTCGTCTTTGCTCTTTGGAGCAAAGAAGTGCCCGCAGACGGTGGGTGTTGGGTCCCCTCCCCTGCGCTCCACACAATGCGGGCGCCTCTGGGAATGATGGCGGTGCCACCCAGGTTTTAGTCTTTATGACCTAAAGGGGCGCTTCCCAGACATGAAGTTGGCATCTTGGACTTTTTAGGGAAGCACAAGACGTCAATGCCGCCATCCCCTGGCTTGGACCTCAGAGGCTGCTCAGATAGTGATTATGCAAGAGGCAGTGAAGAAAACGTTGAGATTTGAGGTTTGAAAGAACTGGACTCGAGCGCTACCTCGACACTGTCTAGCGGGGAGATCCTGGAGGGTCCTTAAACTCGCCGTGTCTTGATCTCTTTGCAGTTACTCCTGCCATCGCCACGGAAGTTGCCCACGGAAGCATCTGGAACGTGGTGCCGTGATGGTGGCTTCCTGTGTGTTACTGCGGGCTGCGGCTGTGTTTCTGTCCCGGTGGGAACGAGGGTGCTCTCACACTCAGGTCTGAGTGACAGCCAAGTCCCCCATCAGAGAGCACCCTCTGGCTCCCGGGGTCCGGGGGATGCGGCCGCCGTGAGGAGACAAGGCATATGGCCGGGTGACACCGCGGGCAGCCGTTGGCAACCTGGTGACCGGCTCCCCACATCCGCTCGGGAAGCACATTCCCTTCCCTCGGGACAGGAAGGGCACTGAGGGCCGACGTGAGAATACACGTGGGGCAGCAAGCCCCCAGCCAAGATAATAATATAGGTCAGGGAGTGTTCAGGGTCCCGATACCTCAGGAGCTGCTGTTACATCTTGAAAATAACTTCGACGTGTTTCCTCGACAAACACAAAAGGGGGAATCGAGGTTGCGTGTGGATTTTTAACTGGCTTTTCAATCTTCTTCATAAGGAGCACGTGTCAAGCACAATGGTCACGATTCAGCAGTTCTCACTGGGGCTCTCCGACGGGGGTGAGGGGTGCTGAGTCCTGGCCCCGGCACCGACATCAACATGTCATGACGCTGAGCAGGACAATTATCCCCAGCTTCCCTGTCTGTAAACCGAGGGCATAGGAGGAGTTACGGCTTCTGGCCTCCAGTGTTTAGCTACACGTTAATGTCTCAGTTCGTAAGATAACTAGACATGTACTTAAAAGGTGGAATCTCCTCACTTTCTTGGGAAGAAGCTCAAAGTTAATTTCTCCAGCGATCCGTGACATCGCCTCTGTGTCCCCGAGCACGGGAGGGGAATACACTATAACCTTTCTCTTGAATGCTATGCCTTTGTTTTTGGAGCTTGCTTGGGGAAGGCGGGGTTTGTCCGGCCATGGGGTGACACCACTCATTACCACCTTTAGTGACCCATCCCTCAGATTTCTGCTTCCTGTTCCCAGACCTTTGCTCTACTGGCCAAGAGGTCTTCGTTCCAGATGGAGCAGAGGGTTCCATTGAACTGGATGCTAAGACCGCCTCCCAGCCACTTTGGAGGCCTCATGCCTGTGAATCAACAGGCACCGGGGGTTACGGTGTTGGCGGGTGTGGGCTGACTGCAGCGGGGACGTTGGACTGTGATTCTACAACGGAGCTGAGGGAGATCACGTGTGGAGCTCGGGAGATCCCTACAGAGCGTCTGTGTGAATGTCAGTGGAAAACCACAACATCCCATCCCACGCAGGACCACCAATGGCCCAGACCCTTTGGGAATGAAGGTTTGGGTCACCCCACCAGGCAGAGAACCGTGACCGACCGAAGTGCTGAAGCGAAGAGAGCTCAGAACATGTGGCGGACGAAGGGCGCTCTAAATACCAGGTACGGGAACGAGGGCTGTACGTGTGGTGCTCCTGAGTTTTTCATGGATATGCTTGGGGCTGTGTGTGTAACCTGTGAAACAAACCTATGCTTTATATTTTACAAGAATAGGTAAATAAGCATAGTTATAAAAGATCCTTGTTCTCTCCCTCTCTTATTTGGTGTATTAACTTCATGTCAGTATTTCAGCCCCAGGGTTTCAAGGGAGGAGTGATGATGTGACACACCCATCTGGGGTAAAGGTCGGTGCATTTTTGGTTGCACGCAGGGCAGCTCTGTTAGGTTGGCCGGGATCGTGTCAGGCGGGATTAGAGCCTTGGCACTCTTCGGAGATTGGGTTTGGTTTAAGGGGGTGTGTTTCGGGGCCAGGTGGGTAAGGGTGGACCGAGATGGCGAATGTTGTGTTCCACTTGGGCGTGTTTCTGCCTGAGAGCGACATTTCAGGGTGGGTAGACTCTGACGAAGCAGGCTGCCCTTCGTCCTGTGGGCGAGCGTCATCCAGTCTGTTAGGGCCTGAATAAGACAGAAGACCAGCCTCCCTGAGCAAGAGGAAGGTCTCCAGCAGACCAGCCACAGACCGGACCCCTACCATCTGCTCTCTTGCGTCTTGGCTTCCCGGTCTTCAGATCGGCCCCTGTGTCGCTGGCCTTCCGGGGTCTCCGCCTGACGGATCGCACTGTAGACGCCGGACTTACCAGGCTCCCTAATTATGTGGGCTAATTCCGTATAATCCATTCTCAACATCCAGCTCCCTGTCAGTCCTCTATCCGCCCATCCTAGTGGCTCTACCTCTGTTGTTACTTTTTAAATTTATTTTTATTTTTTAAAAATGATTAATTAATTTTTTTTTTTTAACGTTTACTTATTTTTGGGACAGAGAGAGACAGAGCATGAACAGGGGAGGGGCAGAGAGAGAGGGAGACACAGAATCGGAAGCAGGCTCCAGGCTCTGAGCCATCAGCCCAGAGCCCGATGCGGGGCTCGAACTCACGGACCGCGAGATCGTGACCTGGCTGAAGTCGGGCGCTTAACCGACTGCGCCACCCAGGCGCCCCTATATCTTTATTCTTAATTCACATCCAGGTTAGGTCGCATATGGTGCAGCAACGATTTCAGGAGTAGGTTCCTTAATGCCCCTTACCCATTTAGCCCATCCCCTCTCCCACCACCCCTCCTGTAACCCTCAGTTTGTTCTCCATACTTAAGAGTCTCTTCCTTTCTCCTCCCTGTTTTTATATTATTTTTCCTTCCCTTCCCTTATGTTCATCTGTTTTGTCTCTTAAAGTCCTCATATGAGTGAAGTCACATGATATTTGTCTTTCTCTGACCAATTTCACTGAGCATAATACCCTCCGGTTCCATCCACGTAGTTGCAAATGGCAAGATTTCATTCTTTTTGATTGTTGAGTAATACTCCATTGTATATATATGCCACACCTTCTTTATCCATTCATCCATCGATGGACATTTGAGCTCTTTCCATACTTTGGCTATTGTCAAAAGTGCTGCTATAAACACTGGGGTGCGTGTGCCCCTTCGAAATGGCACACCTGTATCCCGTGGATAAATGCCTCGTAGTGCCATTGCTGGGTCGTAGGGTAGTTCTATTTTTAATTTTTTGAGGAACCTCCATACCGTTTTCCAGAGTGGCTGCACCAGCTTGCATTCCCACCAACAGTGCAAAAGAGATCCTCGTCATCCTCGTCAGAGGATGATTCTCTACATCCTCGTCAACATCTGTTGTTGCCTGAGTTGTTAGCCATTCTGACAGGTGTGAGGTGGTATCTCTTTGTGGGTTTGATTTGTATTTCCCGGACGATGAGTGATGTTGAGTGTTTTTTCATGTGTCGTTTGGCCATCTAGATGTCTTCTTTGGAGAAGTGTCTATTCATGTCTTTTGCCCATTTCTTTACTGGATTATTTGTTTTTTGGGTTTGGAGTTTGATAAGTTCTTTGTAGATTTTGGATACTAACCCTTCATCTGATATGTCATTTGCAAATATCTTCTCCCATTCTGTCGGTTGCCTTTTAGTTTTGCTGATTGTTTCCTTAATTTTGATGAGGTCCAATAGTTCATTTCTGCTTTTGTTTCCCTTGCCTCTGGAGACGTGTTGAGTAAGAAGTTGCTGTGGCCAAGATCAGAGAGGTTTTTGCCTGCTTTCTCCTCGAGGATTTTGATGGCTTCCTGTCTTACATTGAGGTCTTTCATCCATTTTGAGTTTCTTTTTGTGTCTGGTGTAAGAAAGCGGTCCAGGTTCATTCTTCTGCATGTCCCTGTCCAGTTTTCCCAGCACCATTTGCTGAAGAGACTGTCCTTATTCCATTGAATATTCTTTCCTGCTTTGTCGAAGATTAGTTGGCCATACGTTTGTGGGTCCATTTCTGGGTTCTGTATTCTGTTCCATTGGTCTGAGTGTCTGTTCGTGTGCCAGTACCATACTGTCTTGACGATTACAGCTTTGTAGTATAGCTTGAAGTCTGGGATTGCGATGCCTCCTGCTTTGGTTTCCTTTTTCAAGATTGCTTTGGCCCTTCGGGGTCTTTTCTGGTTCCATACAAATTTTGGGATTGTTGTTCTAGTTCTGTGAAGAATTCTGGTGTTGTTTTGATGGGATTGCTGTTCCTCTACTTCTGTAGGGAACCTGGACTAAGACACCCGCCCAACCCTGTGCTTCAAGCCAGGCTGACTCATCTCCATACGACCTAAGACTAAGACAGATGAGCTTCAGTTGTCTTTGGAACAATTATTCTGGATGTTTCTTTTTGTTCACATACTCGTAATTCAAGTATTTCTTAGTGTTTGTCTTTATCCCCTAAGCTTGAGGAAAGAATCCAGCTTCTCAGCCTGCTCTTTCTCAGGTCTCTCTGGCCTGGTCCGTCCACACCCAAGGACTCCCTGGAGCCGTCTAGACCCCACACTCCCAGCCCACTTCTCAGGGACACAGACAGGAAGCTTTACATGCAGACAGACACACGGCCGCAGAGGCGGCCAAAGGCAGTCTGAAGGTTAACATTCCGCTAGTGTTCCCCCTTCCCCTTCATCCTCCTCCCCTTCCCCTCCTCCTCCACCCTTCCTCCTCCCCCCTCTTCCTCTTCCCCCTTCTTCCTCCTCCTCCTCATTTCCCCCCCTCCTCCCCTCTTCCCCTCCCTTCTCCCCTCCTTCCCCCCTCCTCCTCCTTCCTCCTCCCCCTTTCCCCCTCCTCCTCCCCCCTTCCCCTCTGCCTTCCCTTTATCCCCTCCTCCTCCTCCCCCTCCTCCTCCCCCTTCCCTCTCCTCCTCCTCCCTTCCTTTCCTCCTTCCCCCTCCCCTCCTTCCCCCCTCCCCTCCTTCCCTCCCTCCTTCCCCCACTCCTCCCCTCCTCCCATTTCCTCCTCCACTCCTCTCCCCTCCTCCTCTCCTTCCCCCCTCCTCCCCTCCTTCCTCCTCCCTCCTCCTCCCTTTCCCCTCCTCCCCCTCCCCCCTCCTCCCCGGTCTCCCTCCTCCCTGCTCCCCCTCCTCCCTGCTTCCTCCCCACACTCCATTCCTCTCTCATATAGTCTCTGCCTGGCTTCATTCTTCAGTTTCCTTCCGCGTCACTAATGACTCTGGTGTACATGATTCCAGATTAGTGACCCGAGGGAAAGAAGTTTCTCTTCTTTATCCTGAAAATGTCTGTCCGAGAGACCCTGAGTTCTGCCAGCAAGTTCACTCCAGCCATCAGCACGGTTGGGGGAGGGGGTCCCGGCAGCCCGAGCCCGGGTCACACTGCTGTGGCCGCTGTGATGGAGCCGGCGAGCTGAGCGCCAGGGCGGGTGCCGGCCGGCCATCTTGGAGGCTGCACCAGGGCGCAGCCCTGGGCAGGGGAGGGGAGAGGAGGGGAGGGGAGGGGAGGACCGGTTTCCTGAAGGAGGGATGTGGGGCCGTCTGACCACACACGTCCTCTACGGCAGGCGAGCAGGACATACAGCCCAGGATGAAACGTAACACTGTGTGAGCGACTCCAGCACCCCCAGGGTCCTGGTTCAGACTCAGCCTGGACCCTGGCTGAACACATAACACAACCCTTAACCCAACCAGAACTTGTAGGATCAGTAAGGATCTGGGTCCCCCGAAGGGCACCTGAGCTCTGGTTCCAGAAAAATCCTCCAGAACGTTATTCTGTTAATTCTTCCTTGGTGGGTTGTAGGCGTTCCTGACGCACACCCTGAGCCGGCGGAGAAGGAACGGCAGACGTCACGGCAGCCCCCACGGACCGAAACCAGCCCCACCTCATCAGGCGTTTACCTAAAGGCGTCTCTGGGACCCCCGGTCTGTCCAGTTCCCGATTGGGCAGGACCAGCACCGCTGAGCACCGTGGACTCGCTTCTTTCCCGACGTCTGCCCCGAGAGGGTTGGGTCTTGGGAAAGAGCACAGACACGGCCCCGAAACACAGCACAGGCACTTGCTGGTTGTGTCGCCCACAAGCTCTCATTTCCCAGGGTCCGTTTAAGCCAAGCGTCCCCGAGGCTGGAAATCATCGCCGCACCTCCCGTCCTCTGCTCCTCCCCAGGCGGCCCCGTGGGTGCCGACAGCACTCTGTCCACGCTTCTCTAGAAGTGTCCCAGCGTGTCTGGGCTGCAACCCAAGCCCCACGCCAGCCCAGAGCGCCCTGGGAGGCCTGAGTGGTCGGGGGTGGAGGGAGGGGAGCCGGTGCGACACAGAGAAGGGTCCCCCCGGCACCGCAGGGCATGTCCCTCAGGGGCACCTCCAGGCACTTACAGGTGGGGACCTTACAGGCGACCACTGTGGGGAGGGACGTTCTTGTGTGAAACACGGAGCATCGATGATGACAGAGGCTCTCTCTAAACTCGCCCCGGAGGGTGTCCCACATCTAGGGGTCTGAGCTCATAGCAGGGCGCGCTGCTCTGTGAATCCGACACCAGGCAGGGGTCTCTGTCGCCCAGGCCCCTGGGACAACCGGGTCCCCAGCCGCCCCCGAGCCCTGCCCAGGGGCGGGGGTGCACCCCTGGCTGCCCTGCCCTGTCCCCTCCTGACAGGCTGCAAAGGGGAGCGGGCACAGAGAGACAGCCTGTCCCACACTGGAGGGCTACGCCAATGTGGAAGATAAAAGTCGCCCAGTGACCATGCCAAAGTGTCATGATGACAAACACAAAAGGGTGAGTGAATTTTAAGTGAAAACGTCTTAGGCCTCAAACATGAGCTCTTTGAGTCTCTGATGTCTCTGATGGCAAGTGTGAGCACAAGATTACTGAATGCCCACAGATGACCGTCCCCCGCACTGAAGGCGAGCGTATCCTAAACAGTGGGAACTCAACGTCATTTAGGTCTTAACTTTCTACACACCAAGTGACACGTACGTGCCAGGTTATCAACACGACGGTCTTCGAGGTGGTTACCGGCATTGACCGCATTCGCAGACGGGCGCCCCCAAGTGAGGGAACACGCGCCCGGCAGCGCTGGGGCTGTGAGTTTGCACGCCTCCTTTCTGCATTCTGGAACAGCCTTCCTGCTGGGAAGGAGAGTGGACTTTGTTAGCGGCCCAGAGACAGACAAGAGCAGAAGCGATGTGAGATAACGATACTTTCTACAGTCCAATAGAACCATTTAATTGTATCAGCTCCCCAAGTGTTCTTTGTGCCTTAACATGCGGTTATTTGTACGTTTACATTTTATAGGGTTTTGGGTAACATGGGGCTGTTCTCATGTTGTCTGGAGAGACCTATGTGAAGGTACATAAGGGAGACTTATTACAGGAACTGGCTCATGGTTACGGAGGCTGAGAAGTCCCACGATCTGCCCCCTGCAAGCCAGAGACCCGGGGGTGCCAGTGGTGGGTTTCAGTCTGAGCCCCAGCGCCTGAGCACGGGGGGAGCCTGGTGTCAGTCCTGGTCTGAGTCAGGCCAGAGAATCAGAGCACTGGTGCCCACAGGCCGGAGACGGGGGCGTCTCGGTGGGTTCGCCCCTCCTCTGTGTTTCGTTGTGTGCAGGCCCTCAAAAGGTTGGATGAGGTCCATGGGCACAGACGAGACCCTCTTCCTTACGCGGTCAACTTTCTGGAACACACCCTCACAAAGACACCAGGCACTCTACTGGCCACCTGGATATCTTTGGCTCAGTCAAGTTGACGCAAAATTACCCATCACAATTCCATATTGCCACTTTGTTAACTTTCATTATTGGTGATTAAGAAAACCCTAAATGATGATTTTCATCCCAGGAGTCCTACGCGGACAGCTGACGGAATGTCGGAAGCCTCTGCATCCCCACAGGCCGGCTGTCGGTAGTGGAGGGCAGCCTCCGGGTTATCCATCGAGGGCGTGAGGCTCCCTCCGGTTCTGGTGCGAGCCTGCTGTGGCTCCTCAGACAAGTCCCCGCCGTGACCCCAGATGTCTCAAGTGATCACGGGCGGTTGGCTCAGACCATCAAATCCCCGCCCAGCCTCACCAGGTGAGGACTCTATCATATACTAATGTGACCCACTTAAAATTCCTCCTCTATTCTCATCAAGATTGACAATAACATCCGGCCGGTGCATCTATTCTGTCTGATGTTTTGATATTTGTACAAGACTTCTTCCAGAGTCTCTTGCCCCAAAGCACTGGACGCTGCTTCCCCACTGACTCTGATCAGCTCGAGGGGTGTCCTTTGATCCAAGATGCCCCCTGCTCGTCCCTCGTCCCAGGAATGCTCGCTGGGCCAGCCAGGCTCTCAGGAACTTCCGCCCTGAGCACACAGGAAGGCTGGCCGTGGGAGGTGGAGGGAAGGGCCGTGGGGTCGTGTGGAGCGGGGGCTGCAGGGCTGCTGCGGGCCGGTGGGGAGAGGAGTGGAAGGGGGAGACGCCGTCGGACGGGGGCCCGGGGGGCCCGAGCGTCCTTCTGTCCCCAGAGCGGGAGCCCATCACCTGTCTTTACAGACCACCTCTCCCCCCTTCCTGTGATGCCCGTTGGACGGACGGACTTCACTCCTGCAGGTGAGGCAGCTCCTGACGTGTAAACAGACGTCAGAACCAGGCTCTCGGGACAGCAGGGCCCACGCAGCCCTCGCTCGGGGGCTCTCCCCCTCCGGCCACGGCCAGGTGGCTCTGGGCGCCCACACACCTCCCGGCCCCATCAGCGAGGGGCCAGGCCTGTCACCCGGCATGTGCTGGGCGTGCAGGGGCCCGAGGGAACGGGGGCCGGTGGGGGCGGGCCTGGAGGGACACGTTACCCCGGAAGGGCCGAGGGCTGTCTGTGCTGGGTGCCTCTGCTCTCCTCCCGAGCGTGGCCTTGCCGCAAGCCGCCACGGTGATGGTGGACGTGGTGGTGGGTGTGGCGGCTTCCTCGGCCTCCTACCCATCCGCGATTTTCATCTGTTTTCACGCACTTGACCTCGTCTGCTGTCAGTTCCCACATAAATATGTGCACTCCACGCGTGTTTTGCAAAACCAGCTGCCCTTCATGGGAAACTTCATTCCCCTGTTTCTACTTACAATAAAAAGTAACAAATAACTCCGTGTTCTGAGGGGCAGCCACCAAAATGCGTTTTGACCTCTACTCAAAGGCCTCGGACCCTCATCTGCAGATAGTAGGGCTCCAGAAAGAGGGAAAGCTTCTGAATGAAGCGACCGCCTCCTCTGGGAGGTCTGAGGGGCTCGGCAGGAAATGTCAGCGCCTGGTGCCGTCGGGTCACCAGGGGAGCACGTGCCGTCGCGCGGGCCCTTTGCAAGCAGCGGGGCTCTGTCCATGCAGGTGGCGGGCGAGGGGTGTGGGCCCTCCCCGCCTGGGGAATCTGGGCACTGCTGAGGTCAGGGCGCCGAGCCGGGTGACGCTGGTCCCCGCCGCTCGCCATCCACGTGTCTGCAGAGGAGGTGGGTGGAGGAATCACCTGCAGGGACAGCGCCAGGCCGCCTCGCCTCCGGGCACCTCGAGCCACCGAATCCTCGCGGCCACAGTGGCTGAATAACCCAGGGCCCCGCTGGAGGGCAGAGCCGGAGGGCTTGGGAACCCTTTAAAACAGGCGCAACTCTCAAAACACAGGGCATTTCACACATGAAGGTAATTTGTCCTAACGTAAAAAGTTACGGCTGACTTTAAATAAATTACCGTGATCGCGAGCCTTCTCTTGAGCTCCAAGGAAAATCTCACCTGAAAAATCCAGCTTCCCTCTTTAGAATTCTCCTTGTCTGCACCCTTGCAGGGAATCGTCTCACGAAGGCATTCCGTGTGACCCCGCGTGGCCTGTCGCTGGGAGTGGACTCTCGGTCGGCTCATTAACTTCTGTCTCCCGGCCCTGATGGAGTCTGGAAAGGCCACGCCCTGCTGAACAAATTGTAGACGACAGAGGCTAATTGGTCCTCAGAAAGGAGGCCGATGGCTGCTCTCGGGATCTTGGACTTTTAAAATGTTTATTTAGCACAAACATTTGCAGGCCCCACGGAAAGGCTTTTCCCTGATTCCTCTTGACCTTCAGCGACCTCCCTCCCAGGGCGCATTGCTTTCTCCCCGGGGGGAAACTTGAGAGGCTCTTATTTATTTATTCCCCGGGAGCCTCTAAGAGTTCACACAAGTCTTAACACTTAACCTGGGCTGGAGTGGCAGCGTCGTCCTGCCAAGCTCCCCTCTTCGCGGGGCTGGTGGGCCGACGGTCGCCAGCCCCGGGTCTGCCGTCACCAGGCGGGGGCGAGACCCTCTCCCATCCCGACACTCACTGACACGTTGAGCCTCCACGGCAGACGTTAGTTCCTCCCAAGAGGCCCCCGGGGTGAGCACAGTGTGCCCTTTGTCAGCATACAGGGCCCAGCTCACGCGCGGATTCCGCATTTAGGTGCAGCTCCCCAGTTGGCAGGTGTGACCGGTGGGGTGTAAGGTGAGAATAAAAATCTCTTAAGAAATGTCTTGGGTGAGTTATCACGTCGCGATGTGGGCCCTTGATTTCCTTGCACTGAGAAGTATGTCACGTACACACAGGGCTGGGCGGCAGACGCGGAGAAAAACCCAGACGCCGAGCTCCCCGCCGCTTTCCAAGTGACAGAAGTCCATATCGTCCGTGCTGAGTTGTGCCAATGCCGTCCGGGCCTGTGTCCCGTCCGGTCTTCGGTCCTCACGGTCTCAGGCTTTGGGGCCTGACCGACCTCACAAGGCCCCCAGAGGCTCATTTCCAGATGCACAGCCGGGGCGTCAGGTGCGGCTGCAGGGGGGGCCCTCAGGCAGTGACCGTGGGGAACCCCGGGCTCCAGGGCGTGATCCACCCCCGCCCGGGCGAGGCTCGCTGATGCCTGTGACCCACAGGCTTAGGTGTTGGGGAGCGTGGTACCCACAGGGCAGTCCCCTGTTCCTGAGGCATTATGAAAACCAAATAAGCCTGCCACCACTGAAAAGAAAGCCTGATATACAAACTGTCATTTACTCACATCTCTTGTAATGGAGCAAACGAGTGTTGGCTTAGCTTCAGAAAAGCTGCTGTTCCCGCAGCTACATTTAGAAACAGAGCTTCTCCGTGCACAGACTGCAGGGGGATCCGGAGGCGCTCACGCCCTTTGGCCGAGGAGGTTGGATCCGCGGAGTCACGCTTGGAGAACAGCAGCACATTTTCGAAACATACATTTTTTTTTTGCAACTCACAAACTGAACTTTACGACTTTTTTTTTTTTTTGCAACTCACAAACTGAACTTTACAACTTTTTTTTTTTTTTGCAACTCACAAACTGAACTTTAAGACTTTTTTTTTTGCAACTCACAAACTGAACTTTACGACATATTTTCCGTCAGGTGCTCTCCACTTTAACAACACTTTTTATTTCTTCCACCCCATCCAGCACTGCTCTCTGGAGGCGCTAAAGGTAACCTTGCCCTCTGCTCATTGTTAGCATCCAGATGTGTGCGTGTGAGACCCTGAAATCCCTTAGGGTGACAGTTGTAAACTCGTGGAATGTTCCACGGAGCTGATGAAGGGTACTGTCCTTGACTCTCTACCCAATATGGGCCGTTAGGTGTTATTACAGAGACGCTAAGTCACTTCGGGAAGAAGGGATGTAGGGCTCCCCAAACTGCTGACGTGAGAAAACAAGACACTTTCATACAAAAAAACTCATCTTCTCCAGTGCTCCTTTGGATTTAACATAACCATCCAGATCCTTGGGTTAGCGGCCGGTTCTCCCAAAGCCCGGCACCCCGGACGTGAGGACTCCGGTGCTCTCTGGTCATGTTGTGGGTCCCCCCGCGGCCGTGTGCCCCTCTCTGAGGATGACCTGGGGGACAGCTGGGGGCGCGTGTGAGCAGGAAACCGGAGGGGACGGCTGTCCAGGCGGCGCAGGGCAGCCTTGCGCCCACGGGGGTCGGACCGCTGCCCTCTTCTGTGCACTGCTTCCATTCATCCCCACCGGCTCTCAGTTTGTCGTGTTCTGAATCTCCCCGGTCCTGGAATCCTCTCATTTGCGCCTGTAGGAACTGGTCTGTAGGAACGTTCTAGAACTTCCTACCTCAAGTGAATGAGAAAATATCCATGTGATACAGCAGCTGGCGGGGGGGGGGGGGTGTCTGAATTCCCCTGTTCCTGTGCCCTCCCAGCTTACTTAGGCTCTGGTGCATCTGTTAGCGGAAGGATTGCTACATTTACCCAAACGCTGTGGAAGGAAGCATCTGGAAGGACGCTGGGCAGGACGGCCTGGGCTCTCGGGGCGGGTGCGGGCCTACGGGAGCAGGGGAGGGCTGGGAGCTGCGCCCTGTCCTTCCCGAGTGACTGCACAGAGGAGGAGGATGAATGTGGGGCCCACGTTCTCCCCCAGATGTGTCCTCCGTTCAGCACCCACGGCCTCCCTGCACCTCTGTGTTGTAGCTTGTCCTTTTTTTCTGGAGGCAGAGAATTCCCATTAACTGAGACCCTGAAACAGTCCTCACCTCCGGACACTCCAGACCCTGTTGACTTTGGGAGACGAGGGAGGAGGGCGGGAGGGGGGTCACGGCAGATGCAGCGGAGGAGGGCAGGGGACGCGGGAGGGGTGGAGGGTCCCTGTGTTGCGGGCGGGCCTTGGTCGCAGGCGTTAGCTCCTTGAGGGATGTCACATGCCGGTATTGACCTGAGAAAACGCTGGCCACAGCCCGCCCTTGGGCTGAACCATCGTGAAGTATCCAAACAGCCACTAACTACAGGAAAGGGCACCCAACTTGATTAATCATTACGGAGATGCAAACTGAAACAAAGGAGAGGGCGCTTCGTCTGACTTTGAGGACTGAAATACTTTGTGGGCGCAGGTGTGCAACAAGGGGGCAGGGCCGGGAGGGGTGCGGGCTCGGGCTGGGGGGAGGGGCCAGGCCCCCAGCAGCCATCTCTCGGTGCAGACACGCTGCCTGGGGACAAGCTCACGGAAGCTGGGGAGTCCGGGTGGGGGGGCTGGGGACACGGGAGGACACCAGGGGTCCGTGTGAGGATACGTGACCCTGTTCCTCTCCCCTGCTACCCTTCAACCCCTCGTGTTTGGCCACCGTCACCCTCTCTGGGTGCAGATTATTCTGTTAAAACTTTGTTACGGAGTCAGAATGGAGGAGGCCCACTGGGCTTTGTGTGACTCTGGCCGGGATGGGGGGACCGGGGTCGGGGCCCCCAGCCCCCTCTGCTCTCCTCCAGAAGCCGCACAACCCGATCCCCACAAGGGTGGCCGGCCGCCTTCCACAGCTGCTACTTTGCCATTGGGAGGATTTCAAGGTGGCCCCTGTCTGCGAGCCACAGGGACACCCGGGAGCATCTCTGTTCCACCGGCCGGGCTGACGAGAGACCCAACTACAGAGATGGCTGCACCTGCTGCCGGGGCTGGCCCCCAGTCAGTGTGGGGACGCGTGAGGCCGGTGCCTTCCAGGCCTTTCTAGCACCAAGATTTCTCATTTTATCGGGCACACTTTTAAAAAAGAAACGTATGAGACCCTCCCATGCACAAAGCTTAATTTACCCTCATTTGTCTTAATGCGTTAGGTGAGATTCACTATTTGTTACGTGCCAGGTGGGGTGTGGTGACGAGAAACTGTGTGTTGAATTTCCGGACGAGCTGAGACCCATTACCAAGCGTGCGTTAAGCCTCCCAACGAGGCTTTTGTGTCAAATTAGCAAGTCCGTGCAGCTCTGAAGAGGAAGAAGACAGTTCCTGGAAATCCCTTATTTATATAATAACAGTTTAGACATTTTTGCAATTACGACTTCTTTCTTCGCGGGCCTGCCTGCAACCGATACATGCCGGGTGTAATTCGCACGGCCTTTTCTCTACTTTCTCTCATTTTCCACCCACACCGTTCCACCGACATCCACGCTCTTTTGTGTGGACTGCTCCTAGCCGGGAGGGATTTTGCAGCCCAAAGAGGTGAGGCACGAGCCGCGTTCGAGGGGCCGTGCCCTGCCGAGCCGCTCTGGGCGGATGCCAGGGTCCCGTGCCTGGGGCTTGGGGACCCCCCACCGCGGCTTCTGGAACGAGGAAACCCCACTGAAAATTAGAGGGTGCGCCAGATGGGGGGCGACTGGGGGGGCGTGGGGTCCCCGTTCGGGCCGCTGCCGTGCGCCAGCCGTGTCCCCAGGCCTCGGCCTTGGTTGGGCGGGGCATCAGGGTGCGGTGGGGTCACAGCCCCGGGAAGGGCAGTGGCCGCACCGGGAGCCTGGCCCTGGGGCCCCCGCTGCCGGCCTTCCCCCTTTCTGGGCGTCCTTCAGCATGGAACTCGCTCTCTGGGGTTTTATTTGCATCCAGCTGTCTCCGCGAATCCAAAGGGAGAAGAAACATGGCACCGTGGGGGCCCCTCCTCTCTCTCTCTCCCCTCCATTGATGGTCTTGGCTCCAAACTCTGATCCCGGGCGGCGGGAGGCTCCCCTGCACAGCCAGCCTGGGGGTGGCGGTCTCGTCCTGCAGCACAAAGCTGCACGGCTCTGGAGCGTTCTCAGTGGTTGGGGGGAGGGGGTTGCCGTGAAGGAGTCCTGTCCGGGCCAGAGCCGGTCAGCCCCCCTCACCCTGCGCCCTCCCGCTCTGATGGCCGAGGGCCACGTGGAGCAGAGGATGATGACATTCTCCCGTCAGAGACCCCACCACCGCCGGCTCTCCTGGGAAAGTAGCCCCAGCCCCTGAGCGCAGGCCTGGAGCGGACTGGATGGGCACCAGCGGGCGGGCACCTCCAGGAAGTGTGTGAGGACCCCCCACCGCACGGCCCCCAGCTGCACTGCAGAATGTTTGTCCTTCTGGGTCGCAATTAATCTTTAACGTATACGATGGGCCAAACCCGATCCTGCTCAATCGACTGTTTAACTTTAGAAATCTTAATCTCTGCGAGAGTCTAAACTGGGCAGGGTCCGCAAACAGGTGCCAGACGCGGGGTCTCGGGACCCTAGCTGAAGCCCCTCCCGCAGGGCGCTCTGCATCAGGGGACTGTCCCTCGCTGCCGGCTGTTTGCAGCTGAGAGCCTCAGACTTGCCTGGGCTGCGTTTACACCACACAAGCCAGGACCTTCTGCCCTGCGGGGGCACCTCCGCGGGTGGGGGAGGGGCAATGTGCTTGGACCCGAGGACAGACTGGATTTCAGAGGACAGGCACTCACTGCCAAGTCGGGTCTGCTGGCCGGCTTCATGGACGAACGTTCTTCTCCTTACAGTGTAGATATAACTGTAGACACTCCAAGGATGAGGGGCTTTCACGGCTGCTCTAGTCCTGGGGGCCCTACAGTCTGTGGGGTCCCTATAGTACAGCCCTGGGTCCCCTATAATACAGCCCCTGGGTCCCCACAGTCCCATCGTCCCCTATTATATTAGTCCCTGAGCCTCCTAGACTACAGACCTGGGTCCCCTCAATACAGTTCGGGGTCTCCTATAACACAGTCTTGGGGTCCCCGCAGTCCCCAGGTCCCCCTCCTGCTCTCTGTGGCTGTGCTTAGACCTGAGAGGTCACTATAAAGAGCTGCTGGGTGTTTCCCTTTTGCCATGAGAGCCTCCAGGGCTCGGGGATAAGAGCGTGTGTGAACTCGGTGGGCACGTGACAGGAGGGAATGACGTGGGTCAAGGCTAGTGCAGGCTTTTCGGGATCCAAATGACAGAAATCCCGGAGACATTTCAAAGCCTTTTGGTGATGATATCACGAGACCCTAATTTTGAAAGGTTATGTAGTCAGGGATAATCCACACTGGATGAGTTACAGTAAAATAAATCCAGTGGTGAACTGAGCCCCTCGAGGAATCGAACAGTTCACTTCCATGTTTCTCTGCCTTTGAGCATCAGAGCAGTTACCAAAGATTTGTGTTATGTGCGATAGACGCTTCAAAGATTACTATTTACTTTGCCTTTTTTTTTTTTAATTTTTTTTCAACGTTTTTTATTTATTTTTGGGACAGAGAGAGACAGAGCATGAACGGGGGAGGGGCAGAGAGAGAGGGAGACACAGAATCGGAAACAGGCTCCAGGCTCCGAGCCATCAGCCCAGAGCCCGACGCGGGGGTCGAACTCACGGACCGTGAGATCGTGACCCAGCTGAAGTCGGACGCTTAACCGACTGCGCCACCCAGGCGCCCCATACTTTGCCTTTTAACCTAAGAGTAGGAGCCGTGTACAGAAATGAAGCCCAGATCTACTTACGCAGGATATTAAATAGGTGAGTCTCAATTTTACCGTGATTTCTTGTATCTGTTTGCGTCTCGTTTGCCGTCCTGGTCGAATTAACTTTGTAGCATCTGGATCGTCTGAGTATCCCATGTCACGAAAAGGCCAAACCTGTTAACTCGTCCATTACCCGGGGCATCTGAGGCGCACTTCGTTGGTCTCCAGGTTACTGATTTGGATTCCTAATATCTCATAACTTTGGCTGACCCGTGTGCTGATTTTCACCTTGCCAACCTTCTTTCCCTTTGTAAGGCCCACTAATCGGAGATGACCGAGGAGGACACCTCTCGTCCCGGCTGCACCTGGGGTCGGGTCGCTTGCTCGAGGCCCAGGTCCTGGCGAGGCCCTTGTGATTAGCCACGGCCGCGTCCCGCCCCTCTGTCGTCACGGCACTGACCGTGAAGACCGCCCCCTCCCGCGGGTCCCCGGAGTGTGGAGGGGAAGACACTGGAGGAGCAGAAGAGGGACGGACGTCCCATCCCAGAGCCCACTGCCAGGCCCCGACACCCAACAGGAGGGACCTTTTCTCAGAACAGCAGAAATCTCCACCCTGGCAGGGTGGGCACCGTTGTCTACAAGAAACTCCCAGAGACCCAAGACCTCTTCAGCCACAGGTAGAAATGCTAAGCGTGGGATTCAGTTTGCTGGGTTTGTAGGCGAGATAACATCCCGAAAGGTGGACCCATCACGCGTGACATGTTGTATTTTGTGGAGCCAAATGACCCCCCTCCCCGCCAGCAGCAGGTGCTACACAGAATAAACACAAGCGACAAGCCGCTCTCTCAGCCCAGTTCAAGCAGCGCCCCCCCCCCCCCCCCCCCCCCCCCCGCCGAGGCGGACGTGGAGACAGTCTACCTCTTGCTCCCCTGATGTCCCCTGAGGCCAGTCGGAGCACACGGCCCGGAAATGTGCCCGAATGTCCCCTGCCAGGCTGCCCGCCCGACCCAGCAGATTCTGGTGGTGACTCGGGGGGAGGGACGATGGGTTTGGGTTCAGGCTGTTCCTCCGCACGGCAGAGTGGCTGCGGGCTCTCAGGCAGCAGGTTTTAACTGGGTGGGATTTCGTGCCCCCCGGGCTCAGGCTGGGTCCCCTCATCCCGCCCCCCTCAGTCCATAGCGGCCCCCGTTTCTCCTCTGGGGAGAAGGAAGGCTGAGAGCTCTGTACGCTGGACCGACATGTGACAGAGTGCAGGCCTGGGGTGGGGGGCGGGGGTCCCTGGGGGTCCGGAGCCCCGCTCTGGACGGCCCCAGGGTGCATCCCGGCTCCCGCTTCCGTCCTGGGGCCGCGGGAGGGTGCCACCCCTCTCACCCCCTCCAGTCTCCCTCACGCGGATCCCCCGCAGGGGCCTGGGCACCTGTGTCGGGACACAGCGGGCGTTCAGGTCCTCGGTGCCCCACCCAGAGAGGAAACCGCTTCTCCAGACCAAGCTGAATGGGTTAGAAAGTGAAACCAGGCGCTCCTACCGCTTTCTCGGCACCCGATCTACACGGATCTCTTTCCCAGTCGGCTCTGAAAACAACCAGACGGAACATAGCTGGGCCTTTCAGGCAAACCTCTGCCAGTTCAAAAGCGTCCCTGCGCGGATCAGAAAGGCAGGACAGCGCCCCCGGGGGCTGGGCTCCTGCACCAACCAGCACCCTGCTAAGCGCGAAACCCTCACAAGGGTGCCGTCCACCAAACAACAAGCCCCTCATTGTTACCTGATGCAGAAGACGAGCACAGGGGTTTGTAAAACCTCGTCCTTGACTCAATGTTGGAAACCGTATTTGTTTGGGGGGATAAACTGTCCTGCGAGCGTTTTGTTATTTCGGTGCACAAATGACAAACACCGGGGACAGCATCTATACACGCGGGTCTGGAAACCTGGGGCTTTGCACATACAAACCAGGGTGGGCGGCAACAGATCCTCACTTCGTGGGCGACAGGCCCGCTGTCTTTTATCAGTTGTGTCCAAACGGCCACCATCTTCGTTTTCTGAACCAGGAAGATGAGCGTGTGCAAAGTTAAGGGACTTGGCAATGTCCACCCTGCGGGCCCGGCTGGTCTCGGACCCCTCCTGGGTCAGACCTACGAGCCCCTGCCCGTCCCCAGCAGGTGGGGGTCATGCACGCCAGCTGGGTCTGGCCCCTCCTTCCCAGGTTCTGCCTCTGATACCCTTGTTCCACCGCAAGGTTTAGGGTCCTGCTTTGGTGGTGCCTGTGGGGCTCAGTCTGTTTGTCCAAGTTCGGCCCAGGTCATGATCTCACGGTTCGCGGGTTCGAGCCCCGCGTCGGGCTCTGGGCTGACGGCTCGGAGCCCGGAGCCTGCTTCGGATTCTGTGTCTCCTTCTCTCTGTGCCCCTAACCCACTCACGCTCTGTCTCTCTCTCAAAAATAAAATAACAGCAAAAAAAAAAAAAAAAAAAAAAAAAATTTTTTTTTTTTAAACAAAACACTGCTTTGGAAGTTACAAGCGATGCCTCTGGCCGTGGGTGAAGCCGGTGCTGAAGGAGGTTGGGGAGAGAAAAACACATTAAAATGCTTGAGAACAAGAAGCATGAACACTGTGGGGACAATCACTTGCCCGTAGATGTTTTTCTTAAAACGTCACACATTTTTGGGTTGACACAACTTGTTTTTGTGACTGCCGTGGGTCAGTCCCTGGCGTGGCCTCGCACACAGCTGTTGGCCATTGGAGCCGTTCCAGGCAGTTGGAGAAACAGCCCAGAGAATGACCCGGGACACCAGCGCTGTCACCGCTGGGCCATGTGGCCCGGCCGCCCCCCCAGGCCTGGGCACCCAGTCCTTCACCTGCCTCTTATCCCACACGCCCGCCCCTGCTGCAGGGACATTTATTCCTGAAGACGGACACTCAGTGCTGCCTTATCCTTGGCCCCGGGTCAGCAGCTGACAGAGGAAGACAAACTTGTATCTTATAACCTGAGGCCTGGGGAGTGCAGCCGGCCGTCCAGCGTGGCGTCCCCACGCGCCTCGCCCACGAGGGCTCCCAGGACAGATGTGCCAGGACATGACTTGGTGTGGGTGGGAAGGGGGTGAGGGCAGGTCACCGCAGGGAGGGGCCTTATGAAATCACCTTCGCAGCTGTGACCTCCACCCGCAGGGCCAGGCGGGGATCAGGAGTCCCGTAAACACATCCATCATCCCCCAGCCCCTGGGTCCCGTCCTTCTGTTTGCCTTAAACATAGGCTCCCTGGAAACGCGAGAGGGTTAGGGAGTCGGGCAGCTCCCTGATGGTGACCTTTGAACTGAAGGGCTTGGGCTGATTTCACGGAGGCTCTCAAGTGACCTGTCAGCTCTCTTGCTTTTCCTGTCAAAGTGGAGAGGGACGCAGACGCATAGATAGACGCACGGGTGGTGGAGATTGCAATTGCTTCCGAGTTGTCTTCCGTACTCAACTTTACTTCCTTCTGCATTTTAGTCATGTCTGTTCATCTGGAGCTAATTTCCGCTTATCCTCTCCTTGATTTTGATGCGTCTGGTACACAAGCAAATGCCCTTTTCCTGTGTGCAGATCTGAAACGCCAGTCTGCACACTAGTGACTCTCGCCGACAAAAAGCCCGTCCATCCAAACCCAGCCGTGGCTCACGCCGGCGTGCGGTGAGGGGCGGCCCCAGCCTGGGCGCTGTGGCCCTGCTCCCCTTCGTGGCTGTGGGTGAGCCCGCCCTCCGCACCTCTGCCACGGACTCTGCTCTCCGAGGTCCCGTGTCCCGGAAACGTGGATGGAGCGGTAGGAAACCCGACGGCACGACGAAGACAGCCCGGAAGAAGTCTTTGGGAAAAGTGGGAGAATTTTCTCGAAAGAATTAGGTTGCAAGAAGACATTTGAAAATGGCGTTTACTTCTGTTTTTCACCCCCCATTTTTGGAAACGAGAAGCCTCCGGTCACAAGCTAAGGCAGGTGAGTCACAAGCTAAGGGAAACAGGGAACATTCTTCCTACAGACGCGCTCCTGGACGCACGTATGACCTGTGCCCGTCACTGGAGAGCGTGCGCTGAGCACACACTTAGCGCCCAGGAATGGACGCCGTTGGGGCGCCGGGGCCCCGGTTCAGTGAGTGCAGAGTGTGGTCCAGTGCACTGGCTCTCTGGGGGGGAGTCTGCGGACACAGTGTCACAGCTGTGGGGGGCCGCGGCGTCTGGGAGTGGAGGCCTGGGAGTCTGCTGACCGTCCCGACAGCGGAGAATCACCCAGCCCCAAATTTCCGCCCACGGAACATGGTAACGTTCTTGCAAAAGGCAGAACGAGAGAAAGGGCCTTTCTGCTGCGGACACAGAATTTCTGGGGGCGGACGTTTTGTAAATTTAAATGCACGGCAGGGATCTTCAGAAACTATGAATGTGTGGGAAGAATGAAAGGAGAGAAGGAAAGGAAGACAAGGAAAGAAATACTTGCAAAGACAAGGGGGGAGAGGGAGGGAGACGAGAGATGGCCTGCGACAGCGGAACAGGCCACAGCCCGTTCGTCGCTAACGCCGTAGTTCATGAAGTCTGAGGCGTCTTCCTTTACAAGCAGTGTTATTATTTTACACAATCACCGGGTGCTATCGCTTGTAAGGCACGCTCACACATAACATAAGATGAAGGAGCTGTGACCAGGACAGCAGGACCCGGGAGGTGACGTTGAGCGTCTCGGGGATGCCGCTGTCCGTCCAAGGCTGTTCCCAGCCAAAGCGCCATTTCAGAGCGACAGCCACATCAGGAAAATTTCAGGCCCAGAATGAGACCTTGAGCCCTCAAAGGAAGAGCTTCTAAAAGTTGCTCTTAAAGAAGAAGAAAAATAAAACCAGAGGGAAGGAGAGCACAGCGACTTTGGTCCCAGGAGCTGTAAACGTGGTTCTGCACACGATGCTGAGGGACGTCACAGCGGCAGTCGTAACAGGCCACGGCCGAGGCTGCGGCAAGACGCAGCTAAGACCCAGCGAGTAGTGCACGGCCGATCAGACAAGGAGGGCATGGAGCCTACGCGCTCTGTGGTATCTGCATCACAGGGGAGGAAACACAGCTGGTAAATCCAAACTTTGTTGTGCGAGTCAAAGTATGAAGCACGACCACTGATAGAGATTATATTTAAAAATCCAAAAAAAAAAAAAAAAAAAAAAAAGAAATTACGTTTAAAAATATGTACCTTTCCGGGGCGCCCAGGTGGCTCAATTAAGCATCTGACTCCTGATGTCATCTCAGGTCATGATTTCACAGTTCGTAGGTTCGAGCCCCACGTGGGGCTCTGTGCTGACAGCGTGGAACCTGCTTGGGATTCTCTCTCTCTCTCTCTCTCTCTGTCCCTCCCCTGCTCGCTAAGAAAAAATGAAAATATTCCATACCTTTCCAACTAGTACATAGAATGAGAGGAAATTTTTAAAAGTGGGGTAAAATAAAGAAAAAGTATGATAGTGAGCAAATTTCGATATTGGAAAAATTCAAATAAACCCAGTACCTGTCAGGGAATCCAACTAGACCTTGTAATACGAGGAACGAGACACACCAGAGATGGGTTGAAAGTGAATGATGTGAATCTGTGAGGAAAATACAAAGCCCGACGGGCTGGAGGCGATGCGCCAGGCCGGACGGACGTTGCAGAAAGATGCGGAAATGGTAAGGAGAAGCACAACAACAAAAACCCCAGACTGACCCAACAAGCACCCCAGCCAACAACAAGCCAACAACAAACACCCCAGACTGACCCAAGAAGGTAACGATGGATCCCGAGAAACAGGAAGTGCAAATAACAGAGCGAAAAGAACCGTCCGCACGGGGTCTAGATTCATCGACCCCACAGTGAGTCGGAAGGAATAACTGAAAGACCGGAAGCCGTTAAAGACCTTCTTTTTTAAAAAAGGTTTCTTAAGGTTTATTTATTTTTGAGAGAGAAGGTGTGTGGGGGGGAGGGGCAGAGAGAGAGGGAGACACAGAATCCGAAGCAGGTTCCAGGCTCCGGGGCCCTCAGCACAGAGCCCGACGCAGGGCTCGAACTCACGACCTATGAGATCGCGACTGGAGCCGAAGTCGGATGCTTAACTGAGTCCCCCGGCTCCCCTTAAAGACCTTCTAAATAACTCACAAGCCAGAGAAGAAAGCATAGTCTCCTGGAAACTGCAAACATTTACCAGCTCGTGCCCACACAAACACTGCAGATCCAGGTCGTAGGGCTTCGCTAACTTGGTTGTGAGACTGCTTAGCTGAGCGCAGCCCTCGGAACCACACCCTCTCCCCAAAGAAAACGAAAAGAAGGGAATCACAGACAGGAGCATAGACACGGATGGGCTGGAGTATGGAGGAAACATCGAGTGCACAGTGTCAGTACGACAGGTGAAAGCCAAATTATATTAACACACCTCTGGCAACATGGGCTAGACAAACAAATTAGAAAGAAAAAATGTATTTGGCAAAATGAGGCACATTGTTAACACCTCGGCAAGGCTGACCTGGGATAAAAACCAGGGAGAGCAGGAACAAACAATGCCACCTGCACAGCAACCGTGTGCCAAAGCTTCAGGGATAATCGTGAGCAGATTGATGTAACCAAAAGCTTTAAACCTGAGAGGAAATGGAAGAGGTTCCAGCACAGTGCAGATTTGCAAGATGACTCAAAGACTCATGGCCATATGATGAGACTTCCAAGCGTTAAGGAAAAAGAATAAATGTTCAAAATCCACAAAACCCGTCCACGGCCAGACGCTTATTCAGGTAGCGTTGACCAAACATTTAATGAACAGGTGATTCCTGACTTTCACATGTGGTCATCAGGATCTAACAAAAGGGAAACCTTCACGGCACCTTTAATCAGCCGGTAGAGCTTTGGTAAGCCATCCCCATATGCCTTGTACAAGAAGAGAATTTTATAGACCAATCTCGTTTATGAACATAGGATACAACCCTCCACAGAAGGTTAGCAAACTGATTGTAGCAATGCACTAAACAAATTTTAACGATTTCCCGTCCGAATTTTGCAAAAACCTCTGATCTGGGGTGGGGATGGGCGGTGGGAATGAGGGTCGGGGGTAGAGGGAAAGGACCGTCATGAATTCATACAAGTTGAAACTGTGTGATGGGCGTTCCAGAAATCTTACGGCTAAAAGTTTCCACAACAAAGTGATTTAAAGTGTGAGCCCAAACAAACCTCACCACCAACATTGTTCATTCCATGAATGTGCGATTGGTTTCACAATGAACAATTTTTTGTGTGTGATTGGCTGTATTAACAGATTAAATGAGAGAAAAACAACTATCTCCCAAAATACTAACGCTTCACACCATTTTGCAACAGTATGTGTGTGTATGCAGGGAAGAAAAGAACATTTTCTTAACCTAATATAGCCTTTCCAGCAAGAGTCACACAAAAATTGCGAGACACTAGAGGAACTTTCTTTACAACAGAACGGAGTGCTTTCTGACGTCTTTCCTCCTGCCTTCTGGTTGCCGTTTACCTGGTGCCGGGGCTCCCGGGGGGCACAGGGTTGCTGAAAGACAACCCCCAAATACAAGATTAGAATTTGAACTCAGTATTTGTTAGGGAGACATCTTTTCTCTTTTATACCAATTTCTTCTCCGCCTCCCCCCGAAAACCTTTCCTTCCATGTAGCTTGAACTCAGTTACCTAACACTCCTTTCTTCATATCCCTTTGTGGCCCCAGGCCTGGCCCCCCTGGGGGGAGGCTGTGATGAGGTGACTGATGACACTGGAGCCAGGACCCCCCCTCAGGGGCACGTGTCCTATCCAGCGGGCCCAGTGCTCTCTGCTGTTGTCTTGTGATGCTTAACAGTCTCGTCCATGGCCTTGGGCTCTGTCCGCTGGATGGAGTGTGAACAGAGGAGGCTCATCGTGTGTCTGTTCTGCCGCTGGCCTCCCCCTTCACATGCAGCCATCACAAGGCCCCCGGAGCACAGGGTCTGGGCGCCTGCAATGGTGGGGTTCAGGGTGATGTGCTCCGTCTCTAGCCCAGTACATGGGGAGGCTTCCCCGAGAGGCACCCTTCTTTTCTGCGAGCTGGCGAGTTCTTGTGAGTCCCCTGCATTGGCTGTTCCAATAACCCTGAGAACCAGGACATGGAGGGGGAAAGACGGGGGTCCGCAGCTCTCCTTCCTTCTGTCCTTGTTGGGGTGCTGGGAGGGGTGTGGAACGAGAGCCTTGAGGTCGGTCCTGTAGAACTTCACTGCTGTAGGAACGAAATACGTAAGCATGTAAGAGCGAGACCCACGTTGTGTAACTTCAGGGATTTGCCTGTACAAGTTACATACTCTCATATTTACCTTGAAACTGGAGTCGTACAACACAAATGGTAAACTTCGTTCTAGGAACTTGCAACCCAGAATTTCCTAGACTTAGGATGACATTAAATAGCACGTAACCATCCTGACAGGTTGGAGGAAGACGGTGGAATTGTACAAGGGCTCTGCGTCGCTGGTTTGCCGGGACCCCCAACCTCAGCACGGCCGGGCTCTCATCCTTCCCCCTTTGTGTGGGTCCCTGGGCCTTTCCCGAGTTCTCTGTGTTCTGCTGGTCATCAGGTAGGCAAATGTGCTGACTTGGGGGTTAAAACTGGGAAGCCCACTTGTCCGCATATATAATATATCTCTAATAGTAGCATTTTCTCAAATAGAGCTGATATTATGACCTATGGCTGCTTGGATTTTGACTTAGTTTTCAGTTGCTTCAGAACCTGGGTAGGAAGGGGAGGAATATTTGGGGCTCAAACAAACTCTTGGGCTGGTTTGGTTGTGTCCACTGGAAAGCCCAGAAACCACGGATAGACTCTTAAAACTAATATGGGAGTTCAGCAAGGTTGCTGGATATAAGACAAATGCATATGCACACACACACACACACACACACGAATGCACACACACACCAGCATCAAACAATTAGAAAACGGAAGTTAAAATTCCAATTTCACTTATAACACGAATGAAGTATGTAGGGAAAAATGTCACCAAAATTGCTCAAAATATTAAAGAGCAAACTGAAAAATCTACTGAGATACATAAAATAGATGTAATATTAACTGAGCGGGGGCGCGCCTGGGTGGCTCAGCCGGTTGAGCGACTGACTTCAGCTCAGGTCATGATCTCACGGTTCATGGGTTCGAGCCCCCCCATCGGGCTCTGGGCTGACAGCTCAGAACCTGGAGCCTGCGTCGGATTCTGTTCTCCCTCTCTCTCTGCCCCTCCCCTGCTCACACTGTCTCTGTCTCAAAAATAAATAAACGCTAAAAAATAAAAAAAATGTTAACTGATGGGAAGATTGACTATCATAAAGATGGCAGTTCCCCCCAAAGTAACCTATACATTTAAAGGCAACAGCATTAAAATCCATAAGAAGTTTTTCACAGAACTCGACAAGGTGACCCTGTGACCCACATCCATGTATCAGGAGCCCAAGTGACAAGACAACTTTGCAGAATAAAGGTTGGGATATTTGACCCATAGAAGATACTAGGACTCACTAAAAGCTGTGGAATTTATTTAGAGTCCTGGTTGGATGCAAGAACGAACAGTGAACTATTCCCCCAGAAGGACAGTCTGGTACGTGCGGGTGTTCAGGGAGGCAGAGCTATGGACAGGAGCGTGAGAAGCTGGCTTCTCCCGGGGTGGGGAGGGGGCGGTGAGGACAACCACGGAAGGAAGACACGTGAAAATAAAGGGAGAGCTCCTTCTTATTTTTTTTTTCAACGTTTATTTATTTTTGGGACAGAGAGAGACAGAGCATGAACGGGGGAGGGGCAGAGAGAGAGGGAGACACAGAATCGGAAACAGGCTCCAGGCTCCGAGCCGTCAGCCCAGAGCCCGACGCAGGGCTCGAACTCACGGACCGCGAGATCGTGACCTGGCTGAAGTCGGACGCTTAACCGACTGCGCCACCCAGGCGCCCCAAGAGAGCTCCTTCTTATATGCACACATATAGGTACCAGTGGATTCAAGACTTAGGTTGGAAAGGCAAAATTTAACTTTTAATAGATATAAAGAATATCTTTATGATATCACACTGAAGAATTCTGTGAATAAGATTTGTTTTTTTTTAATTTTTTAATCTTCATTTATTTTTGAGAGAGAGAGAGAGAGAGACGGAATTTCTCTCCTGCTTTGAGAGAAAAAGGTCTCTCCCTGAGCGACCACACACTTAGCACCACTGGCAGCCGATGAGAAACAGCCACAAATACAGGCTTGTTCTCCAGTGCAGTTGTGTTTAAAACAACCGTCCCCAATTTCCTCTAAAACCTGAAAAAGCTGACCTTCCCCTTGTCTCTTTGGACTTGGCCTGGGGTTTACCATAGTTTCCTCGTCCTGAACTGCTATTCCGGAGTCAAGTCATTTTGCTAATGAAATAACTTTTAAAGGTTGACAAACGAAAATCTGACATTACTAGCCTGAGGGAGCATCAGACCCCACAGGTCAGGGGCTCGGTCCCGGAAGGCCGTCCCCCACTTCGGATGCCAGTCTCCGGTCCAGACTGTCACCTGTGCTCCTGACCCCACCGGCTGTAGATCAGAAGTGCCCAAGACCTTCTTGGGTTCAATTAATTCGCTCGAGCGGCTCACGGAACTCAGAGGAGCTGCGGTTCATCGTGAAAGAACGGGACTCAGGAACGGCCAGATGGGAGAGGTGGGCGCAGGGCAGGTGTGGGGACGGGGTGGCGACCTTCCACGCCCTCTCCACGTGCGTCACTCCCCCCAAATCCCCGCGTGTCCACCGACCCAGAAGCCCTCCAAACCATCCACGGGGGTGGCGGTGGTGGCTCCTTTACACCTGCGTGATTGACGAAACCCTCGGCCACTGGTGGTTGAACCCAACCTCCGGCTCCCCCCCCCCCCCCATGGAGGTCAGGGGGTGGGAGGAAAAATTTCAACCTGTAATCCCGTGATTGTTTCCCTGGCCAGCTGCCCCCACCCTTAGGGCTTTCCAAAGGTCACCTCGTTAACACAACAAAGGACACCTTGGTCACTCTCAGAGTTCAGGGAATTCAAAGGGTCTCAGGAGCCTTGTACCAGGAATGCAGAGTGGATCTTACTTGGCAGAGAGGGAATTACTGTTGGCAGAGGAAGCTGAGGTTGCTCCTCAGCTGGCCTGAGATGGCGAGATTATCCTGGATTACGGGCTGGGCCAATGTCATCACAGGGATCCACAGGCATGCAAGAAGGGGCAGAAGAGACAACACTAGAGAGACGGCAGAGAGAAGGACTCAGCCCTACGGGGCTGGCTGTGTGGACCGAGGACAGGACCAGGGACCACCTGCAGCCCAGGAAGCTGGAAAGGCAGGGGGGCGGCCCTGCCCTGGGCCACCTGAAGAGGGGGAGACCCGTTCTGGACTCCAACCTCCAGAGCAGTGACATGATCTGTGTGTGGAGCCCCCCTGAAGCCACTACAAGAGCTCAGGTCCCACCTGGGAGGACGTGGTGATGTCTGTAAAGAGAAGAAGTTCTTGCCCACCCGGGCGAGAAGACGGAAAGATGCTGAGATGGCTCTGGCCCATTAGATGCCCCTCATTACGGGAGGGGACAGAGCAATCTGGGCGCGGTCGGCAGGGAGCAGCGCAGGACCGGGCGCGGTGTCGCATCGCTGGGCGTGGGTGTGCGTGGGCCCCTGCAGAAGGCACTGAGCTGTGCTAAGGGATCTCCATGGTGATGGGCTGGTGTCAGCGTCAGTGAGTGAGAAGGAAGGAAAAACCGCCAACACGTTAACCTGTGTCAGATTCAGTTGGCGAGAACAAGAGGGACTGATACGCGAGTTTTGCATTTTTTTGCAGGTTTGAAACACTTCTAAATTTAAAATGTTTTTAAATAGGAAAAAGGCGATGAACGAACAGAAACCGAGAGATCCAGCACCCACACTCGGAGCCCAACTTTCAGCGTTCGGGGGTAGCGCAAGGCCTGACGCTGGCACACCGGGTTTGTTATAACAACCGAGGAAGGGTCTAAGCGCTGTGCTACAACCGAAATCCGTTCGGGAGGGCAGAAACGGGGCAGGCCTCACTGCAGAGCTCGGCTCAGACCCCAGCTTCTTCCTGAGACCAGAGCCTTCCACGCTCTGGTGCTGCCGACGTGCTCGGGGGCCCGCATCTGCCTTGCCGACGTCCCGAGGCGCTGTGAGCGGGGACCACGGGCAAGCGGGCTCAGTCCGCGGTGCTCCCTGTAACTTCAGACAGGTGTGCACGCTTCCCAGCCGCTTGGCAATTTTCCGGTTAGTGTCTTTCACTTTCAAATACAGAGTAGAGAGGACTGTCCACTGTATGTACCCGGCAGAAGTGACCGGAGCCGCAGATTAAAAGCGGAAACACTTCGTAAAGTGTGCTAAGTGAACATTAACTACTCATCATAGATACTTGTTAAAAATAAATAGTAGATGATAAACAGCAGCCATTGCCGACTGCGCTGCAAATCTCAGAGTTAATTAATACCTCTCTTAACACAAATAGTCGACATCCTCCGGCCGTGGGCCTCTGACAATCCTTTGATAAACTATTGTTTCCCCTAAATTATACGTATAAGTACAGTCTTCGTGTTAAATGGGTTTCTAACATATCTCAGCTTCCTCGGCCAATCAAGGGGCTGGTTTGGATTTCCATGGCCCTGGTGGGATTCGTCCTGGAGACACTTTGCGAGGAAGTGACTTTTCTTTTACGGATCCCTATCAGTTCACCTCGTCGCCTCTACGATCTTTTGGCGGTGAACTTACGATAGCTCCTGACCAAACACGTTTAAATACAAACAAATTCTGTCCATCTGCCAGACCCCCCGATCCTAAAATGCCCACTGTTTTGCAGTGTGAACTTTGGCAAATTAAAAAGATATTTGACAGGAAGTAACTAAACAGAAGTAAAATTTAAATGAAATTCGACTCCAGGAACTCCTGCTCTCCTTACCTGGAGTTTGCGACTCGTGTCGCGTGAGGTGAGATGCTTCCCCCAACGCCAGTCACACATCACTGCCAGGTTGGACATCTCCGATTTACGGAGTGGAGCGAATCTCGAAGACAAACACAGCTGTATCCGAGTGCACCCTGGCAAACTGACTGCACACATCGTCACCCCGCGAACGCACCTGGGCAGCTACCGCGAGGCATGGCCTGTATGCGCTCGTGTCATAAACGCCCTGCAGACACAAACCTGCCATTGAAGGAAGTTCCCACAGTGCGACCCGCTCCAAAGGCGGGTAGTGGGGACCCAGGGAAGGGGTCGGAGAGCAACAGGTGTGGCCTGTCGTGAAGGAGGCGGGGACGCCAGCTCTCCAGGGGCCGTGGGACCACCCAGATGCTAATTAAACGTGGGGGTGGCACCCAGCGGGCTGGAAGGCCGGCCTCCAGGAGGAGCGCACAGAGCCGCTGTAGGAAGTGCTCTCCAAAGCTAACACGCCGGGAGAGCCAGGCTTTCTGGAACTGCTGACCGTCTAGTTCTTCCTCCTCGATGGCCAGTCGGAGCCAGATGTACTGAAGCAAGGGCGGAAATCCATGGCCACGGAGGATGAGCCTCGTACTTAAGCAGATTAGCTGTGTCTCGCCAGGCATCACCAAGGGATTAAGACGACATTATTCATCACAGACAGCCTGCAGAATTCTCCCGAGCCGTGTGGATCAGCAGAGAGGAGGTCCCTCCGCCGCATGCGGAGTCCTCTGCCTGCAGTCCTCTGCCGGCTCAGGGCCGCTCTGGGACGCGCAGCCGCGAGGAGTGAGTTGTGGGGGAAGCAGAAAGGGTAGACTGTCCCGGGTATGAGACTCGGCCAGCATGACCTGTCCCCTGGGAGGGGAAGGGCGGCACAGGGGCCGAAATTTGAAACTTTCATGTGTGTCCCAAACGGGACAAGAGATGGTCGTGGGGGAAATAATTAAGGAAGATGCAGTGAAAGTACGTAAGGTTTGTTCCGTCCGTGGTGAACTTCCTCCTTGGTTAGGAGGTCACGGCTGGGGAGAGGTAAAGACGGAAATAAGAGGGAAAACAAATGGAACAGAAGGACAAAAGAATCTTCAGATGGAAATAAAGACGCTGATTCGAACACTCTATTTCCGTAAGAACCCCGAGTTGTCTCCAGGGACAAGTGCGTGACTGGATGTGTCCTTGTGTCCTTTCATTGCGTGTTGCTGTTGGGTGGGTGACTCTGAAGGAGCCTGGGGACCCCCAAACCACGGCCGGCCATCAGCGGTGGATCTGGTCACGCATGCACACGCCCCCTCGGCACCTGCCGCGCCTCAGCCTCCTCGGGGTCCTGTCTTGGCCCCAGGTCAGCGCAGCCCCATAAGGGCCTTTCCGAACACAACGCTGCTTCCCACAGACTGGCCGTGCACGCAGACAGACGGACGGAGCTCCCACCCGCAGCCACCCGCCGGGACAGCGAGCCCTCACCTGTGACCGCCCCTGGGGAAGCCCGGCCAGAAGTCAGCTGTCGTCCACAGTGACAGTTCAGGCGCTGAAGTAATTTCTGTTAACAATCAGCCCCAAATGCCTCTGCTCCAGTGACAATGACAGCTGTCCTGATTTCTGTCCCTGCTTGCACCTCGGCCAACCAGAGACCCAGGTGTGCCCCCACCCTGCCCCAGGCACCGGGGCGCCCCCTTCCCCGGGCCTGTAGCCTCCCCGCTGAGTCCTTGTGTCCTGGGGCTCCCGCTGCCCTGCCTGCCCTGGGTCTCTGCCCCACCACACCTTCTGTAGCACCACCGACGGAGTGGCCTCTGCCTGGTCTTGCATGACGGCCCTTCTTCATTTCCCCTCCTGAGTCCCCCCACGTGCTGGGCCAGCCCACCCCCGATGGTACCCCGGGACCTGTCAGCCTCCGGCTCACTGCAGGATGAGCCTCCGCTCCATATCCCCAGCCTCCCCAGACCCCCAGCCCTCTGCGTTTTCTCGAGCTGTAATCCTGACGCCCCCCAAAAAGGCCTCTGTTCCTTCAATTTGCCTCCTGTCTTCCGTTGAAGCCCCCCCGGGAGGCCCAAACCCGCTGTGTCCCCTCCTCACTAGTCCACGCGTCCCGGTGGGAGACACACGGCCTGGCCAACCCGTCCCGTGGCTCGAGGATGGCTGCCCCATGGAGGACGGGAGACGAGTGTCCGATCGCCGAACCGTGCACCCAATCCTGTAATCGTGCAACGCTCCTTTCGCACGGCAGTGATGAGGACGGAGCAGAACCCGCCACGCACGTGGAGCCCTCGGCCGTCTCCCTAGGAAGGGCTGCTAGGGGAGCCGGAGGGGAGCCTGGGGACACCCCCTGAACACCACCGGGACGGAGGGGAGCCTGGGGACACCCCCTGAACACCACCGGGACAGAGGGGAGCCTGGGGACACCCCCTGAATGCCGCCCGGATGGACGGGAGCCTGGGGACACCCCTGAACACCACCGGGACGGAGGGGAGCCTGGGGACACCCCTTGAACACCACCGGGATGGAGGGGAGCCTGGGGACACCCCCTGAACGCCGCCCGGATGGACGGGAGCCTGGGGACACCCCTGAACGCCGCCCGGATGGACGGGAGCCTGGGGACACCCCTGAACGCCGTCCAGACGGAGGGGAGTGCCGGACCCTCAGACTGTGTGCCCCATCTCCAGGGCCCCGCCTGCCACCTCTTGTGCCCCACGGTGGACAGACGGTCCTTATAAGATACCCTGTGCAACACGTTTTCCAATAAAACCCCATCACGGGTGCGTTTGTTTGACGTAGTCTTTAGCTACCAGAGCAGATCTTAAGCTGGGGAGGCCCTCGTACCCGTGACGAAGCAGATTGCAGGAAGCACAGTGGGAATTCTACCCGGACTCACAGACGTGCCTGGAACTCTCTTTTGGAACAGCCTGCGTTCTCCACATTCGGCAGGAAGCGGCCCCCGCACCTCTCACGGCACCGCCTCGGCACCCTCCTAGGCCCTCCTCTGTGTTCTGAGATGTCACTGGGGCACCTGGGCTGCCCAGGTCATGACCTCATGGTCGTGAGTTCAAGCCCCCTGTCAGGCTCTGTGCTGACGGCTCAGAGCCGGCGTGGGCTCCACTGTCCCCCTCTGTCTCTGCCCCTCCCCTGCTCGCACGCACACGCTGGTCGACTTTAGCTAAATAAACATTAAAATTAAAAAAAAAATGCAGTTGCTTTTTAAAATGTTTATCTCTAAACCACATCCTGAAACTAGCTGCCTGTTACATGAACGTCCACAAACCCACAGACGCTTTGGCTAGTCTTCTTATGGTTTTTCCCAAGTTCTGGTCGGCCGTCCACCTGTTGGGGCTGGTCGCGTGCTGTCATCGCGGTTCCTCAGGACAGCTTCCCTGGCGCGGGCGGGGACGCCCCGGGCCGTCTCCTGCGGGCCTCACACCATGGTCATGACCCTCAGTGCCGCCGGCTGGAACCTCCGGATCTTTCTCTTCAGGGCCTTGGAGGCCTTGATCCGGCACACTTTGGGCACGGGAGGCAGGGGCGGCCTGCGGGCGGCTGGGGCCCGCGGGAGCTGTGGGGGACGCGCCCCAGGCCAGGCCCCGCCTTCTGAGTCACTGCTGCTGGACTCCTTGTCCCCAAAGCAGCTGGCAGTGTGGTCGCTGGCCCTGTCGTCCTCGCTGGTCTCGGTGGCAGCGGACGGAGGCAGGGAGGCACCCTCGGCAGAGTGCTCGGAGCCCTCTGACTCGCTCCTGGCGCAGGGGGCCCGGGGGGGCAGCCTGGGCCTAGCCCGGACGCACACGGGCCGCTGCCCGCCCCCTCTGCTCACTGCCGGCCTGTGGGGCCCCAGGCCGCCCGAGACCTCCACGGAGGACAGCCACCGGCGCTGTTCCTGTGCCTCTCCCCCGGCCGCCACAGCAGCCGCTTCTGAGGGGAACAAGGCCAGCGCGGGGCCCCCGCGGGCCTCCCGTCGGGCCACCAGCAGGGGCACCAGGAAGGGCACGGGGTAGAGTCTGGGCTCAGAGCAGGACCGGCTGGGCGCCACCCCGGCCGGCGTGGGCCTCCTCCTGAGACCGGCCCCCCACTCGGGAGGCAGCTGGGGGGTGGCGAGGGCACCTCCCGCTGGCGGTTGCCCCCCAAACCTCAGGACCTTGTCACTGGCCCCTCTCCTGATCTTCACAGCCTTTGTCCTGGGGGCGCCCGCTTTTAGCCCCAGGAGAGCAGCTCCGCTGACAGCAAATGGGGGGCGGCCACACCCCTCGGGGGTCAGAGCGGGGTTCTCTCCTCCTGCCTTCCTGGCAGGCGACAGGACTGTCCTCTCCTGACTGCTGGCGGCCACCTGGGCACGCCCACACCTCGGCAGAGGGGAGCCCAGCACGGTGTCCCCACGGGCGCAGCCACTGGAGGGCTTGGGTCCCCCCTTTGGAAGGCTGCTGGGACGCGGGGTGCCCACACCCTGCTGCTCGAGGCGGTCCCTGCTGGCGTCCCCTCTCTGGGCCAGCCTGCCCGCTCCTGCTCTCCCGGGGGTGCACACCAGCTTCTCTAGGCCGTCTGGACCGTCTGCTCTCTGGCCACCAAGTGCCTGCGGGGATGGGGGCCCCTGCTCACCCACACTGCTCCTCGCGGGGGTCCCTCGGGCCCGCAGCCTCAGTAGCCTGTCTATATAGGCTGCAGCGGGGCTGGCCTCAAGGACAGGTCTTGTCGGGATCGACGGGCCTGTGGGGCCGGGAGGGGGCTTCCTAGGGAGCGGCTGGGAGTCGGCGTGCAGGGCGTCCCTGGGCAGAGCGAAGAGCGGGCTCTGCAGAGCTACAGCGTGCAGGGGGCTGGGGTACGGGTACACCTCCCTGCCCCCCGTGGACACCAGGTCACGCCGGTACTTGGGGTCCGGCCCGTGGGCTGGCAGCCCCATCCCGTGGCAGAGGAGGGTCGCGGATGTGGGGTCTGTGCTGGCTTTCTGGGGCACCACCGCAGACGGCAGGACTCTTTCGAGATCACCTGGGAATGAGAAGGACGAGCACACAGGTGAATCGGGGAGAACCCAGCACAGCCCCAATGTCACTTCCTGCCCGGCGGGCGGCAGGCCGGCGCAGTGCCCCGTGTGGGCCTGGGGGCCTGGGGAAGGGTCTCGCCGGCCACTAGCTCCGCCCCCTTCCCAGGGCCTCCCCGTCGCAGGTGCACGGCAGAGCCTGCACTCAGCCTTCACCCCGCGTCTGCAGGTGCCCAGAGAGACGGGCGCCTGTGACCGCGCGGGGGGCTCCGGACCACCCCCCCCCCCCCAAATAGGCGCTGACGGGGAGGAGACCGTGGAAAGGTCCACCAGGACCACCGGGCACGGCTAGGCCGGGTCTGCTCCTACAAAGCTAACAAGGCCCAAAGATGAAGCCTTTTCTTTTCGGGACGGACCGAAGGGAAACGGAGACTCTCCCTTGAGCCTGGGCGAGGGAGGCATCCACGTGGGAAATGAACGCTCTCCGCGTCGCTCTGGGTCCTGAGCCCCCTCCAGTTACGGAGACGCACCATCAGGCTGTGTGAGGTTCCGGAAGGACTTTTACAGTAACTTTCTGATGTCCACATAAGTAATAAGAAAGAACGCTTTTGGTCACGCCAAGGTTACTTGCTGTAACGAACGGAAGTGGGCCCTTGATTCCTGTCTATCGAAACACCAAGAAAAGCCCGCAGAAACTTCGGAGGGGCACCTGTGGGACGAGCCCAGCGCCAGACGCGGACGGGGCTCCGGCTCAGTGCTCAGTGATGCAACAGCCGCCCCCTCCCCCGCCCCACTGCCCCCACCCCCCACCCCCCGCCCCACAGTGGGGCCTCCCGCCTTCCTGGCTCTCCTTTACCTGTAGACACAGGCCTGGGCCGGCACTCGCCCTCCTCGGTGGCCTGCGGTCTACAGGTGGGCAGGGGGGCTCCATGCACGGTGGTGTCGTCGGCTGACCGGGGCCTGGCCGTGGGGTCAGCTGGCAGCAAAGTGCCCAAGGAGTACACGCGGTCACTGCTCACGGACGTGCGGGAGGCCGACAGGGAGCAGGAACCACCATCACTCAGCTCGTAGAAGCCTAGACAGGGTGGATGGAGGAGGTCAGCGCTCCCCCGGGCGGCGGCCCCTTTCCTGCCCGAGGACGCCCCTGTGCTGGGGGGGCTTTGGGATCTCGTCAAGGCAGGCACCTGGGGAAGGTGGCCGGGGACTCCTGAATGCCCGGGAGTGCTCCCCATGACTGTCCACTGCTGCCCCGCGAGCAGGCCAGTGGGAACCCCCACGCCCACCACTCGCCCCCCTCCTCGGCGAGTGGCTGTTCCGTGACCGTTAACCTCCGGCCCCTGCGGGGCAGGCCTCTGGCATCCTTCTCCCTCCCTCCCCCGCGCTGTGGGGTCCATCCCAGGTGGCAATCAGAAGGGGCCACCGGGGGCCCCCCCAGCCCGGACCTGCCGAACACACTGCACACCCAGGCCAGGCCGTGGTTGTGCAAGTTTACAACAGGAAGAGACGGCATCCAGGGCTGGACGTGGTCCCCTGGGTCTGCCCCGCGAGCCAGCGTCTAGACAGATGGGATTATGTGCCCTGGACAATGGCTCCGGAACGATTTCCCTGCAGCTTCACAGTAAGGGACACGGGCAGCTCCTCGTCATCTGTGACCGGTTACACAGGCTTGAGCCTGTGGATGGAACGGCTCTTCGCCACCTCCCGCGAGCCCAGCCCGAGCAGACCCTGAATCGTCTCCGCCCGGAGAGGCGAGAGGCTGGCGAGCCTTCCTGCATCAGAAGCAGCGCTTCCCGTGCTAGGCCCTCTCTCCGTGAACACACACGTGCACACTCTCCCGGGTTCCGAAGCACATTTAGGTGTCAGGAGAGAAGTGTGGCATCTTCAAGGGCCCTTGGTAATGGGGTCTCCCGGCTCGGGCACCGTGCCATCGGGGGGCGGGCTGAGGACACAGGCGGGGCCCAGGAGGGGTGACGGAAAGGGGGCGTGCGGGCTACCTGAGCTGGGCCGGCTGTCACTGTCGGCCGCCTCGCCGCAGGGTCTGCACACGTCCGGCTGCTCCAGGTGGGGTTTTAGGCCGACATCCTGGCGTCTTAGACGGGCCTACGAAGGGACAGCATGGGAGAGAAAACTGTCTCGAGTACAGAAGCCGAGCGCGGCGCCCCACGCACGCGACGTCTGCACTGGGCATCCGGCTTACACCGCTCCCTCGGAGCCAGTCCCCTGCTCTCTGGTCACCGGAGGAAAATGTCCACGACCCTCCCCTCTTCACACCTCTGTCCCCCCTCAACGGCAGGCTTAAAAAAATCAGCAGTTCCCAGTTAGGCATTTCTTTATAAGGACCGACTGATAAAGTCTATGCGCATAAAGTCAGGATCCAAAACCACACCTGGGACGCCCGGGTGGCTCAGTCAGTTGAGCCTCCATGACTTGGGCTCAGATCACGATCTCGCGGTTCGTGGGTTCGAGCCCCGTGTCGGGCTCTGTGCCGACAGCTCGGAGCCTGGAGCCTGCTTAGGATTCTTTGTCTCCCTCTCTCCCTGCCCCTCCCCCCACGCACGCGCACACTCTCTCTGTGTCTCTCAAATAAACGTTAAAAATTTTTTTTAAAAAAGCGGCACCCGGGGGCGCCTGGGTGGCGCAGTCGGTTAAGCGTCCGACTTCAGCCAGGTCACGATCTCGCGGTCCGTGAGTTCGAGCCCCGCGTCGGGCTCTGGGCTGATGGCTCAGAGCCTGGAGCCTGTTTCAGATTCTGTGTCTCCCTCTCTCTCTGCCCCTCCCCCGTTCATGCTCTGTCTCTCTCTGTCCCAAAAATAAATAAACGTTGAAAAAAAAAAATTTTTAAAAGCGGCACCCGGCACGCGCCACGGATATGGGTGCTGCTGTCCTCAGTTTTACGCAAGAAGCTACCTCCTCACGCTCACGGGTAACAGACCTGGAGTTTGGTGCCCACACTGCCATATTCGTTTACCCAGCAGACCCCGGGTGACCTTCTGACTTTTGAAACTGACCGGAAGCCCCCCCAGAGAGAAAAAGTCCCCCTTCCGCATGTGTCACACACCCCATTTTACAGGTCCTTCCAGGCTTCACAGAGCCCTCAGGGACAGGGACAGAGGCACGGCGGGAGAGGACAGTGCCTGCACTCAATGAGCCTCAAGATCTGCCTGAAATCTTCTTGGTTTAGAGGCTCACATCTTAGCCCTGCCTTCAGAGGCTCTCTCCCCTCCAGGCCTCAGCTTCCCCAGCCGTAAAATGGGTTATTATGAGCGTCAGCCACACACCTGTGTGTGTGTATTTATGGAACACCCGTGTAACACGTGTACGTGGTTAATACTCATAGTCCGTACTCACACATGTTTGCACACGTAGATAATGTACGTGCGGGACACCCAGAGCACTGACCGTTTAACCAACGCGGATTTCCTTCTTTCAATTATAAAACAACACCGTTTTCAAGGTCTGCTGTGCCAATTTCTTGTTTTCCTCAACAAGGAAGTTTAAGGCAAATAATTAATGAATGTAATTACGTGGTTCGCCCTGTTTGAGAAAATGATTGTGCTTCAGACTTTTATATAGAAAGTGAACAATTCCCCTGAGCCCCCAATTATGGGACTCAGGGGAATGAATTATTCCAGCAACCCCAATACCGTGAGAACTCAGTCCAAGGGAGAGGCAGGCGGCAGTAATGTGCGCTTCCGACGAGGGAATCACGTGGGCACAGAGTGTTCAAATCCCAGCCCCCGGGAGGTTTAGTGGGTGAGAAGCCCAGGGCCTGATGCTGCCCCCGGTGCGTCCTGAGCCACCGTGCTGAGCTCCCCTTTCCGCCAGGACCCAAACCAGGGCTCTCAGAACAAGCTCCAAGTGTTATAGCAAGAGTCTCACAGCCGCGACACGGTCTGTAAGTAGACAACACGGCAAAGACCGGACTTGAATTTAACAAAAACGTGATAATCCCAGAACCATCCGGTCTAGCCTAAACATCCTGGCTTCTTACCTTGATTATTTTTCCAAAGGGAAGCATTACCCAGGTGAACGTCGGTCGCAGAGAGAGCCAGGCAAAGATGGGCTTCTCACGTAAAGAATACTAGATCGGGCAAAGGGGCTAGTGTAGATTTTTACTGCAAATGACTTTTCTTTTCCTGTCAGTGGCAACGGGAAATCAACCACGTCGCCCTGTCAGGTCACACCTGGACGCTTACCAGCATCGACCTGACCTCTTCTTTTCCAAATCACCGTGCTCTCATCCTTCTGAAGGAGGAGATCACCCCGGACGCCCCAGTTGGCTTTCTTCCTCTCTCTCTGAACCCCTTTCCGAAAAGAAAAAAGGCCCCCCTGTGTGCTTGTGCTGAGATTCACTGCTTTGTGATTAATGTTTGGCCAGCCAGGCCTTCAGCGGGTGGTTTCTGATTAATGTCGAGAGGCCACGGACACACAGGGTCCCGGGGATTCACAGATGATTTACCGCATCCTTAGGGCCCTGCACGTCTACAGGGCTTCACCATTCTGGATTTACACCGTCCTCCTTAACCCTTCCCCCGTCCCTCCCTCACCTGGGGTTTTTATGGCTCAGCTTTTCATTAATTCCTACTTGGCATCTAACTTTGTGCCAAGAGTCAAAAGTCCCTTCTGAGACCAGGATAAAGCATAATCCACGGCAAGCCAGCCGCAGAGTATCTCCACCTGTGTATTTCCACAGGGAAAACATCATTCCAAACTCACTGGGTGAACGTGACCGTGGCAGTCACGCGGATTCTCTTCGGAGCAGCCCGCAAGTCGCTGGGGTCACGTCCTCCCCAGCCCTGTCCCCAGCATTCGGGCTCGCCGTCAGGGCAGAGTATGGTGTCAGAGTCCCCCAAAGCTGTGTAAGGGGGCCTGGGGTGAGGACAGCACAGCCACGGTTCCCCGGGCACGGGGATCACCTGGGCATCAGTGCAGGTTCCTGGGATCCCCCCATCCCCCTCACCTGAGACTCTCGGCCACACCCGGGCACCTGCATCTTGACAAGCCTCCCGCCAAGGCTTTCTGTGACCATGAGAAAGTCTGACAACTGCATCCAGGGAACGCCATTAAAAACAAATATTCGGTTCATCCCTTCCTTTGAAATGCTTGCTTTGTGAACCGCGGGAGAACGGCCTGGTTCCCACCTGTTTCTCCTGCCTGCCATCCACAACTCAGCACTGTTGTCTTCTCAAACCTTTAAGGCAGATTCAAAGGGTAAAAACTGAGACCTGCCCTCAAGTTCAGGACAAGCGATGGCCTCTAGAACCCCTTTATTCTCTCCTTGAAAGCTGAGCCTGCGCGAAGGAAAGATTTCACACAGGAATTCCGTGGCTAGCACACACACCCCGTGGGCAGGGACGCGTCACTACCCAGCTTGAAAAGAGGTCCGTCGATCAACAGCAAAGGCTCCAGGGTCACACACACATCAGCCTCACGGATAAGAGACGAAAGCCGCGCACGGTCCTGTGGATGCCCTGCCCTCACCGGCGACCTCGAGCAAGTTCATTTCCCTGTGAGTGCATGAAGCAGGCATGGCGGGTCCAGGGAACATCCCAGACATCATGTTTACAGCTGCAGAGTCAGCGCGCTCTTGTGGTATATTCAATGCCAGAACCCGCCAGTGAAAAGGGATCATCGCACGCTGCCTCTGTTAGGACAAGTCACGACCAGCCAAGTCAACTACTGGGAAATTCTTCCGGAAAAGATTTCACTGCAGGGTCCTCAGAACCCTTTCTTCAGCTTCCACCGGAGGGCACCTCTCCCACGGACTCCGGAGCGCCTCCTGGTGGCAGCTGGAGCTCCCAGCCTCCCCTGGGGCATCCCCTTCCCTGTGGGCGCTGCGGGGCACCTAACCCCTGCGGAGATGGGGACAGCAGCCACTTCTCAGGGAACGAGGAATCTCCCCGAACATATGAACAGATGAGCACAGGCCTGGCCGCGGAGCACCGGAGGTCACGGGGCATCAGAGACGCAGACGAGGGGACGGTAAGTGTTCTCTTCTGTTAGAGCAACAGAAGTTGTTCCTTTATTTGCTCCCCAAGTACCACGAGGCACCTACCACGCGCTCTTTGGAGACTTTAGATGCCGCCATTAAAAAGGTACAGCCATTTTGGCAAACGTTAACGTGCCAGACCTGCCGGGTTCCTAACGGCAGTTCAAATCCCGAGCAACGCTTCCCGGGGAACCCCTGCTGGACAAGACCGCCGAGGGTCAGATAAACGTCCTTCCTGCGCTCATGCCTGCACGGTGACGCGGGGTCCACGCCGGGTGGGCCTGGCCCCCAGCTGTGAGGTCTCCCTGCAACTGCGCTGCGCACAACAGGCTTCTGATCACGGCACCGGTTAATACTCCTACCTTTTTCCCTGCGAGAAAGAGGTGAAAGCGTTAAGCCCCGAGCTGATGTCACACAAAAGCAATTGGTCTTCTCTGATCACGCAATCCATGCCAAGCACCGTCTGAAGACAAAGTCCGCGTGTTCCTCCTGGCGGCCACGTTAAAAAAATAAATAAATAAAACAAAAACCCCAGCCCTGTTTGATCGCTTCCAAAGGGCACTGGAAACTGGAGGCTGACGACTCACAAAGCTGATCTGTGTGTTACTTAACCATCAGCTGCCCTCCGACAGCGAGGAGCAGGTCCACACTCCAGCACACCGTCCTGCACGTCCTGCACGTCCGTGGCCGCTGTGCGCCGAGCTCCGGGTCACGGGGACCACCGGCTTGCCGAGCGCGGCGGGCGCCACGGGAGAGCAGGCCGCCCTGAGAGCCCACCCCTGCCCTCTGTGCCGCCGCAGCTCCGGAGGCAGAGGCCGGTCTGCCGAGGATTTTCCGATCTTGCCACCTCGTTTTTGCAATCTGCAATTCGGGAAGACGACCGACCCCCGACCCACCCACCGGAGTCCTGGCAGGCATCTCAGGGCACTGCACTTCCGGATTCTTGAGTCCAGGAACGGTTAACAAGTCCGTCACCTGCCTGAGCTAAGCTGACAGTGAGGGTGCAGATCCTTCCAGGCTGCTTTGTCAAGGAAGCAGCTTTTACACAGAACAGATGTGAATTTCTAATTATAAAATAAAGAAAATTCCACTTAAGAGTCCTGGAATTAACTCCCATCAGATAGGAATTTTTCTATACAGCCTTTCTGTTTTTCCTTTAAAAAAAAATACTGCAATACTGGAAAAATTCCGAGTTGTTTCCAGGGGATGAAGTGAAAGCATACAGCGGACTGAAACCTGGACGAGTGTCTTCAGTCCTGTAAAAAGGAGCTGGCACTTGGAGGGGGCCAAGGAGAAGACACAAAGGCCAAGCAATCCTAAGAGCGTCCCCGGTTCTACCTACGGCCTCTGGGCTGCAGAGAACACGCCTCATTTCACAGGTCAGGTTGCAATTTAAAGTTGACGCTTTCATGGGATACAAGCTTTTTCCTCAACGTGTTCTTTCAACGACGCGATCCCATTTAACCTGAGCACAATGCGGGGACAATTTGGGGTGCGCTCGGCACGCTGGCTATGTCGTCCCCGAACCTACGCAGCAGGGACGCCTGGTATCCGGGGTCTGACCCCACGTAGCCCCCGCCGCCAGGGGAAACCGACCTCAGGCGTTCTCGCCAGAGCAGCACTGGAAGTGAAACAAACAGCAATGCGCGCTCAGAGTCCGTCCGCGCGGGGAAGGAGGCAGAGCCCGGGCGCAGCCGAGGGCGCCTTTCACAATCGGGCTCCTCATCCCGGTGCTTGGCTGCGTCATTTGGAACCGAGCGCAGTCCCCCGGGGTCCCAAAGGGCGCCCTTCGCTCAGTCGCACAGCCCTTACCCGCCGCGCTCCCCCACCAGGTGGCACGGCCCCCCGCCGCCGCGCGCGCCCCAGCCGCCCCGGGGCCCCGCGCTCCTTACCAGCTGCTCCTGCAGCGCCGCCAGCGCCGCCTCCAGCCGCAGCTCGC